TTATAAGATAAGTAAAAATCTGTAAGATTGACTTATCTTCTCGAGGAACTGTCAACTGTTGTGCGAGGACCATGGGATCGAATTGGTGGATACCTGAGACGTCCTCGGTGATGATATCTCTCAGATAATGGTTGGCAACCACCATATCGGATCTCAGAAAATAAAGCCTCCATTATTTCAAATAATATTGTGTAGATCAATTGTAGAAGTTAGCTCTAATATCATGAGTATTAAAAGCTCATGGAGGGTCGGATTAGGTCCATCCGTCTTGTATGCACGTAGTATGACAGTTCTGATCAAACGGAGATATAGTACGTGAGATTTCATTTTTGCGTAAGTTGATGATAGAGGAAATAATCCTGTTGTATTATTCCCTTCTGTTTGGTTCGGTGGAGATAAATTTACAGTGTTCTTGCTGGCCATCGTGATAGAATCATCGTATCATGGAGTCCAAGTATGTCATCCAGGCGTGTTCATAAACCTCACTTGTGAGGTGTTGGAACACTATATTCAGATCCCCAAGTTGGAGGGTGAAACTTCCGTTTTAATTCTCCAATCAGAAAGTTTAAGTAGGTTTACTAACCATCTAGTTGTGTTAGTAGCTTGATTATGAAATTCAGCTGTAGTCTGAGACGCTGTGGATTTAGATCCACTTGTATCCCGTCGTCTAGGTTATTCGCTGCGAAGTCCTTGACGATGTAGGTGCATAACCAGGTGTGTCTGTCCTCGTTGAACTTTATGTAAAATTGCCTGACTGCCGTGCCCTCGTCCTAACTTGACAGGGGAGGCCTCTAACCTGAAGAAAGCAGCCCAATCATGAAGGTTCAGATTAACTGGACTGTAAGGAGGCTTGCTCGTTCACTGATATATAGTTGTCACTTGTAACGTAAGTCTTGAACTGTGAACTAAGATCGACCTCTGCGTAGGTCGTTGTCCAACGCGGTCCAATCAGAACAAGGCATTTTGATTCTGTAGAATACCCGCGCTGTGATGTCACCGGTGTAGCAGGAAAAAACCTTGTATAAAATCTTGCCGTCGTTGATATTAGCATAATCGTCGGTCTTCACCGTAGCTTCCCGAAGTTACCCGAGTGACCACGTGTTTCGAGGGTTAAGGTAAACGCGCGAAACCTCCGGCGCGAAATACCTCGCTCTGTAATATTAATGCTGGGTAGGTTATTTTCCTGGCTGTCGTGAATGTAATTTCAGTTTTGAATATAATTCCGACTTCCTTATATAAAGGTACAATAAACTTGCAAGTTGTCAGCTTGTAGACTGTATACATGAATGTATCGTCATAATTGTAGAATTAAAGCTGAACCTGTACATATTTCTTCTCAGAAACTTTGACGATTATGAGTTATACTCGCTGTAACAAGGCTGCTGTTCAATTTCGATATTGAATTGTCTGCAGATCTGCGTAATGGTCACGCATGTAGATAATCGTATCGTAGTCCGGGATTGCATATTCTAGCAATCTATACGGAAAAGTTGATTTCTGTGAAGATCTCTGCAACGTCGTTGATTAATTAATATAGCGACGTTCTGTGTTGTAAATAGCCTGTGCAATTGTCTTCGCGTAGGCTTATAGACGGCATATGGCATACAGTTGATAGACAACTTATGCGATGTCTTGAACGGACTGACGAGTAGCTATATATGACGAGTGGCTAATATATGGAGACCTTGGAGATTTCCTCGGTGGACGCCGGAGACTTCGCGAAGCTCTCGAAGTATCCATTCTAGATTTCCTGTGTGAGGTAGACTTGGAGCCACTTAGCCTTCGCGACCTTCGCGAAGGTATCGAGTCAGAGCCCGATCAGTATATATATAATATATGAGCGCTTGCTTCGCAAACGACCTCTGTGTTCAACAGGAGTGAGTGAGTGTTTTGTTTTACGCCGCACTCAGCAATATGTGGGGTCGGTGAAGCGCTACTCCTCCGTGACGTCCCTTGTAACTGGTGAGGCTCTAGCTCCTTCGCGGAGGTGGCCTGGGACTTCCTTAGCGAAGTGTCTAGAATCCGATCAATATATGAGCGTTAGCTTCATACAGGGTGTGGTTCTTGCTGGTTCTGCATAAGTAGAGCCGAGTAGATCATCCTATCATCTTCAGAAGTCGTGTCACGAAATCTGGTGATAAGAATCTCATTGATCGTTCTAGATCTATTAATGCCAAGAACATACGCCTCTGGCGTTTGAACTGTTATGGCTTTATGGTAGGCTGTGTCCACATACTGTGGCACCGCAGCAATCGAGTCGATCGGAGGTAAGGTGATGGCGTCTGCCTCGTCTTCCTTTATCAGGTATGTCTGCGCCGAGTTGCCACTCTTGGAAGGTGAAGAGAGATCTAGGTTGTTTACCATCCAATATCGTATCTCAGCGTCTGAGAAAATGATGTCTCCATCATTTTCTATCCCAGCATCGCTTATGAGATGTTGATGCTCTTCTGATGGTGGACTGTGTATTTCTATCTCTATGTCGGGTGACGCTCGGGGAGAGCTGACTGTAGACTTGTGTGCAGACTTGTGTGGTGACCTGTGAGACGATCGACGTGGTGATGTACGAGAAGATCGGCGCGGTTAACGGCGCGGAGATCGTGTTGGTGATCTGCGTCTATGGGTTGACCTTCTCGGAGACCTGTGAGGAGAATGTTGATAGCTTCACGAAGCTCTTGTGTAGTCAGGTGTCCTTCGCGAAGGCCTTCGCGAAGGCCTTCGCGAAGCTTCCTCTGCGTCCCGGTCCTGGGGAACGGCGATTTGACCTTCGCGAAGGCTTCCGTGAGGTCTGATGGTCTGAGTCCGCATCTAAGGATGAAGCCGAGGAAGGTGATGATCTATCCCGCCTTCGCGAAGGCCTTCGCGAAGGCTGTACATCTGGGTCCTTCGTGGAGGTGGTCTGCGACTTCCTTCGCGAAGGTGGCTTCGTCGTGGCTGTTACGCTGATGGGGGTGCCTCTGGGGTGTCGTCTGCGTTGGAACCTTCGCGAAGGCTCAGGCCTTGGGCTGGCTGCTTCCCAGTCTGTAGTGGCCCTCCATCATGATCATGATTTGCCGCAAAAGTTCATCTGGGATGGTCTGCGACGAATTAGTCGGTGCCCTCTCTGCGATGTTAGCGGCGGGGCCCTCAGGGAAGTCGTCTGACGTCAGTGTATAGACCTCAGGCTGCATGGCGATCTCTGCTGATGTCACTGTAGCTGTCTCCGGTCGCTTCTTGTGGCGTACGTCGGGGATGATGATCGGCTGATCATCGTAGAGGCCCAGTTCAGCGGCTGGAACAATCTCGGTTGAGAAAGTCCTAATAGACTTCGTTGATTTCCCCTCAGAGGTCGACGCTGCCCTGGGGGTGCGAAGTCTGCGTTGCCTGTTGTCGACATCGGTCATTCTTTTGATGTACATCAGGTATGATGATCGGCTGATCATCATACAGGCCCAAATCTGCGACGGGAACAATCTCGGCTGAGAAAGTTCAAGTAGACTTCGTTGATTTCCCCTCAGAGGTCGCGTTGAGATGCAGTAGAAACCCTCTAGTCTTCGGCTGCGACGATGGGATGTCTGGGGAAGCAGGACGCTTCTTAGAGGCGGCGGACTACGTCCCACGCCTCTCCACCACTCTAGCGGAACACCAGACGGGAGGGGGTCGACCAACAGCAGTAGACTGGCGAGGGGTTCAGGTGTATCAGTCATGGCTAGACTCTGCATACGCGACCTATCTGCTGCGCGTCTCAAACGCAAAGTAATTATTTATTAAAGGTAGAATTGGATAAATTAGTATCGCAACTGCAACGTGAATCACATGAAACATGGCGCAGTACAGCTAGGGCATATTAAATGCGGATCAGCAGCAGAATAAAAAACGTAATGTGCAACAGTACAGAATTTTTATCAACGTAATCCACTGAAACAGCACGGCGTCCCGTGCATAAACAGTAGAAACACGACTAAATATCAATATATAATTGTTGAAAGATACTAGCTAAACCTCTATAGATCTCTATACGAGGTAACTAACTAAATATAATCAAAGGATATAGTGTGTCGGGAGACACAGGCGCTCTCACGTCCAGCTCACTGGGCGAAGAAGGAGAGAGTGAGGCACATGGGTAGAGGTGGCGCCCTCGTTCCCGCGCTTGTGGAAGGGAGGTAACTCGTGGTGTACTAATTAGTGATTTTACATTGAAGGGAACTTCAATTAGGGAGATACAAGTGTTCCACTATGTTCGCAAGAGAGGAAGGGAGACAAGCAAAAATTATTATATTTGTAACTTTGTTAGGGTTTGTGTGTGAGAGGCTGCATGTGCTTAATATATATATATTAGTTGAGACATAAGAATCTGCCAGCCCCTGCTGCCAGCAGATGTCCGAGGCTACATTCCCAGGACTGGTGACAGCTGTGGCCGACCAAGAATTTCAGAGACACATGTGGAACGAAAGAGTGTGAGAAAGGGACAGAGAGCTTTAAGATACTGAAGAAGTAAAACATGTTTTTAAGTTTCTAAGAGAGCATTATAGGATTGTGTGTTGTGGGCTTAGAGGACATACGGTTTTTCAACCTGTCCAGCCACTGTGCATTCATTGTCTAGACATTGTCTAGTCACTGTCAAATTAATGTTTAGTTAATGTTATTCTTTCATTGTCTGGATTGTATTTAGAAGAAATGTCATAAGAAAGCTTGGAACTTGAGATTAAAGGACATTTTGAAATCACTGGATCGAGTTGAAACTTTTACATCCTCTACCCCCAACAGTGAGATAATTTAAGAACTCACACCATCTGTTAATTTTTTTTAGTACAACATGGCTGGAGATAATACAATCAGCCATCTGTTCCTCAGCTGGAGGTTTTCAAGAAACCATGTATCCATTAATCGTCTTGCACCCCGCCACTGACATCCCAGAACCAGAAGACACAATTCGGCTTCACACCAAGGTTGCTGTCATGCTTAGCAGACTGAAGTATTTCCTAACCCACAACCCTGATACAGAACTTACACAAATAAAGCAATTTACTTCTATGGTTTTAATATCAATATTTACAATACAAACTTGCAGCATGAGCGAAGCTGGTGTTTCTTTTAACTGAAATGGTATGAAAGCACACAAATCCGAAAGTTTCTTTCTCCTCCACTGAAGAACAACTTCTCCTCCAGTGAAGTACAACTACACAGTCACATCACATCTTTCAGGCAGCCTAGCGGACAGGACTCCAGGGTGTGAGAACATCCCTGTATTTCTTAGGTTCTGAAAAGAAAAATTGTGTTCACTCAGTGAGTGTATATTTTAATTGCTTTGTTGTTTAATACCACACTCAGCAGTATTCCAGCTATGAGGAGGCAGTCTCTAAATTATCACGTCTGGACCAGAAAATCCAGTGATCAGCAGCATGAGCATCAATCTATTGGGGATACCATGACATGTCAACCAAGTCAGCGAGCCTGACCACCCGAATCCCGTTAGTTTCCTCTTACGGTATATTTTAATGCTGACATGCTGTAACATAGCATATGAATAGCAGATCAGCCTTCAGGTGGAAGTTTTATTTTATGAAGTTTTCATGTTATGGTGATATTCCTGCTGTCTGATAGCAATCTGTATATATAATTGAGTCTTGTCCACACAATCAAGTGATTGACATGATGAGCATCTATTTACGCAGTAGGCCTAGGGATATGATGACAAGTGTCGCCCACCATCCAAGTCCATGAGAATGACTATACCAACATGTCACACCCTTCTTACGTTACAAGCATGCATTTCTCAAGACCAAATTCTAGCCCGAATCTAGACTGGTTTTATAGACATGTTAAATTAAAAAAAACTAAGTATAGCATCCCTACTTCTGAATGGCAAAAGTCTGTTTTACATTACAAAAATTAGAAACATGTTTCATCTGACAAAACAGTCTACACTGACATCCTGTAACATTCTGAAAACATTTCTTAACTCCTACAATGCCCGTCATAAATGAAACAACACTCCTGCAATATAGGATTTATCTAAATAAGAAACACATTGTTAATATATCTTTCAACTGCTTTGATTTAAACAAAGCACAAATCGATATCACGCTAAAGACAACATCCTCTTCTACCAATTGGCTGACCTAGTTCTGGGAAGTCCTCTGGATGCTGCCTGACATAGTCCTCCAGGATCAACAGCTTCTCCTGCCTCTTCTTGTTGTTCCATGTGTCGATGGCCGTGCCAAGGTAGAACCCTGCCGCACCCAGAAGTGCATGCTTGTAGATCCCTGGAATAGAAAGAAGGTGGCTGGGGAACAGGAAGCAGGTGATCATTTTCACTGGGTAATTAACCTCTGTCTTCTTTGTCTTTGTGTAATAGTGACCACAATGCAAATGGTATAAGGATCAACACAGAACAATTACAGTAACAAATAAGATATCCATAAATTGTCTCTACTTTGTCACCTGTCAACTTCTATGAAATGTCGAACAAACAATTCACTATCAGTGATCAGACATTTATCTACACCTGGTCCCAGGTCTGCAGCAAGAAACTTTAAAAGTCACAAAATTGGAATCAACATTTCTCATACATATAACTAGTAACAAACTTTATGGCTTTGTAACAGTAACCTGAATTTCACTTATAATACAACCAGTGTAGGGAAAGAGGCATTATTGCTCAGCTTTGTATCACTGTATTGAATACAATTTCATAATATGACAAACTACCTCAGTCCTCTGCATATAAAAATAACGTGCATGCTGAACAAGAACAAAAAAATACGTTTTGAAGCATCACATAACTGTATCAACAGAAAGTTCTCTGTTCAGACAGCAAATATATTGCACTAAATGACTACAGCAAGAGTGCAGTGTACTGGTCACAGCTCACTGTAGCTCGAATTAGCTGAGGGTGTCATTTCTGGCTCTCGCTTCAGATAGCTCACATGCCTCTTTGATTAATAGGGTTAGCTGTGTAGTGATTAATGCAGGTTACACCCAATTCTATCCTTACCCCTTGCAGGCTAATTGCCACTTTATGATCATTAGGGTTAAGTACCCTTTCAGAATCAAATACCCCTTAACAATCATTAGAGTGGGGTTGGTGGGTGGTTGTTTAACACCTTACTCACCAATATTCCAGCTATATGACAATAGTCTGTAAATAATCGAGTCTAGACCAAACAATCTAGTGATCAACAGCATGAGCATCAATCTATGCAATTGGGATATGATGACATGTGTCAACCAGGTCAGCGAGCCTGACCACCCAGTCTCGTTTGTTGCCTTTTATGACAAGTATGGGTTGCTGAAGACCAATTCTAATCCGTATATTCACAGGTGTATCATGATCATCAGGGTTAGTTGTGAGGTAGGGTATCATCTACCTATTTAGCAAATATATACAACACATTTACAGGAAACGCCATCTATTTTTGTGAACTTTTGAGTTTTGAAAGGAAAACAGAAACTTTGTATGTGCAGAAAGGTAAACACTATGTGTGAATGATTTGCTAAATGAGCACTCATTACTTGTGATAGATTCTAACAACATGTTACATTTTACTCCTAACCTACATGAAACTTCGAACTCGGGACAACAATCCGATCCTTGCCTGCTCCTAAAGAGTAAGTGCTGTTCTGACACTATTTGCTGTCAGCTAATTTGCAACTGTCTGTCATTGCCAGGCTATGAGAATGTATAGATATAATCATAACACTAACAGACCATGGCTACAAATACCCTCATTTTGTAAGTCATGATCATGAAATATTAATAAGCACCATGACAATTTCTTATATAATTTTAAATGTCCAAAGAAATCAAGTAAATAGAGCTTATGGAAACGACAACTAAATAATTTCAAATATTTTGTGAAATATTACGCTGCTTCTAAACATTTGATTTGATCAACATTTGGAAGCTTGCAAGATCATCAATATCTACATTTCTAATGTGTTTTCAGTACCTGTGTGGAGTGGTTTCCTGGCAGTTAAATTCAATAAACAGGCTCCACCAATGCCTGCTAAACAGCCTACAGCTTCTCCTAAGCTTACTGTGGGCATGTTGCTGTCTGTTGCGATAGAGCAAGTTGAAGTTTGTCCAAGGTGAACCTTGTCGAAACCGGAAGGAAGTAGCAATGGTTTATTCAAAAGGAGAAATCAAATTGTTGTCGCTTGACGGTCGTATTTGTAATCTCTAAGGTAATTAATTCGAGCTACAGCCGTTGCAAACATACTACGACGAATCAATAAAACATCGTATAGCATATTATTAATTAACATGAAGCCATAGTAGTTTTGTTATCGATTTATTGCGTTCCGTTTTATTGTTTACAACTCTTAATTTTGCTAACTTCCGTTATGGCGGGTCATGAAAAACATTTAAACGAAAAGGGTTCTGATGGTCGGGAAGTTTTGGTGTGGCAATCGTCTTTGGCAAGCGCTAAACAATGCATATTGAAAAAGAACTATGGGAGAGCATTTGCTCACTTTCTCCTCGTGTTAAAGCTTTGTCCGAGCATGAAGAGTGCTCTCAAGGACGACTTCGTTCTGTCAATGAGGGAATGGACAGAGTGTCTCGAGCGACAAGGAAGGATCCATGATATGTTCAAATGCTATGACCAGGCGTGCGAGCTTTTTCCTGAATGCGAAGCAGCATTGAATAACATCGGGGCACAATTGTTTCGGTATAAAAGTGGTGTTTTGAGTGTGACAGTACTTGTATTAAATAGTAGTAAATAATACTCGTATTATGCGTCGTACAGTTTCGTCGTATTTTACGAAACGAAAGTCAGAATTGTTTGTTTTCCCCCGGCGAGTGCTAGGAAAATACATGAATTCTAACTCAGTTTCATAAAATCATTTTGATGCACATGCTAGTATAATTATTTCTTTATTAGCCATAGGAGTAGTTTGCTTTGCTTGGTGCTCAATGGGTGTTTGATGAGCAAGTGGTGCCAAACCCTAAGACTAGTAAGAATCGAAAAGGGATGCTTGATCAGAAACTGGTACCTAACCCTGATCATGATCATAAAGGGGGATCCATGATTAGGATAGATATTGGTGCAACCTACCTTAACCCAAATGCAATCCCTAAGGAGGCATGCAAGATATGTTAACTGAGAGCCAGACTCAGCTGTCTGAGCCATTAGCGCCACAGTAAGCTGTTCCCTGTAAACTGCTCTCTTGCCTTACCCATTATTTCTTACTGGGCTCATTTATGAAAAATGCTCTGATCATGACCAACTTCATAGAAAATCTCAACTGTCAAAGGAAGTTGAATGGCATTATTTTTGGGGTGATCCCTACGTTACATGAAAAATACATTTGTATGAAATTAACATTTGGGTTATCCTTAAACTAAAAAGTTGTGTTGCCAGCATAAATTACACAGATACATTTACTTTCTTGGAGAGAAATTTTTATCATAATGTTGAAAGTATTAAAACATTAAAGTAAAAGTGACAAAATCACTCTCTCTATAATCAGCTTTGAATCAAACAACTTTTGTGGCATAACTTAAAAGTTATATTTGGTGATATGTGATTGTTATCCGTACATATACAATGTGCACTATTTTGGTTCATCTTAAAATAAAACAACATTGCATAATGCATTGTAGAATGTGGGAAACAAAACCCTTCTTCCCGCTATTGTGAATACCGGGTAATGAAAATAACAATCTGTACCTAGCATTTACCAAACATCCTCTTATTTGTCCTGCAGCAGACCAAGGGATGATCCCCATCGTGTTTGTTAAAGCTGGGGGGATGATGTCAAACATGGTAAGGCACTGGTAGATGCTTGTAACACATAGATAATGACTTGCACGACAAAAATACACAGAAGATAGGTTTTTCCTTCACATTTCATATTTACCTAATTCACAGCCCAGCTAAAGGTGTACGGATATGTGATAGTTGTTTGCCGGTTTCTGGCTGGCAAGATGTCTCGTTTCCCTCTCAGAGACACAGGCAAGGTTTGAATACTACTTCATCTTTGGTGGTATGAACTACCTGGATTGACAACAATGTTATCTTGCTGAACACCCATGTTTGATCACCACATGGGTACAATGTGTGAATCCCATTTCTGGTGTCCCCTGTCGTGATATTGTTGGAATAGTGCTAAAAGCAGTGTAAAACTTTACTCACTCACTCACTCACTAATCTGTGAGATATTCAGCAGGGAGTAGTGTCATACGTGAAATACCAACCTCATCCGCTGTTAATCCCATCTTATCTAACCAATCACCACACTCAGGTGAAAGTGTACCATTAACAAATGGTGATGGACAAGTAGAGAGACCCCCAGTAAATCACCAGGTAATAAGAGTGTTGGCATGATCATTGAAATTGCACAGCACATCAGGCAATGGGAACCCATTTCAACCTCAGTAAGGAAAATCCCCATAGTGTCACTTTTATTTGCTAGGGGGGACCATTTTTCAGGATGGCTATAAATATAGGAGATAGAGATCTATTATTGCTAACCGATTGCCAAGTCCAAAAGAAATCAACATGTTTTAGTGAGTGGTGACACATCTTAGCATGGATTACTAACAAAAACAGTGTTCTGAACAAAATTTAGAGGGGGATCATGAATAAAGTCATAACTTAATGTCATCACAATAGTTTTGGTTAGATGTTATATTGTTATTGGTGACACAACTTTCATATAGAATAGATCATTATTAATCTTCCCACTGACAAATTTTCAGTGTTTTTCGCAAGCCCTAACCATTTTGCCTGTCCTGTTTTATCTTCTGTGTTGCACTATTTCCATTATTTCAAATTCCAAACACTTGTGATTACATAGGCCCAATAGTATTGAAATGTCTATAGTTGCTCCATTCAGTTTACCTGCCCCTTATATCTAGCCTTACACATGTTTTGGGCCCCTTTTACAATAAGTCCCCATTTACAATCAGTGGGGTTTGGCACTCTTTCTGAGCAAACGCTCATTTAGGATCCTTAGGGATGTTATAGATCTTTTACTTTAATCCAATACCTCTCAGGTTGAGAGTCTGATGACACCTCAATAGGAAATTGTGTCAAGTGAATCTTAAAATGAACCTTGACCTTCCCAAATTAAGGAATATAATGGCTCTTAAACCAGACATGAGTCTTCTGAACTGATTCAGCTTCATGTCTGTACCTCCTTGATTCAGAAATGATATGTTCAGTATGTGTGTCTACCCATGAAGATCGGGTCCGAATTGGTCTAAAGCAACTCATGTTTGTCATAAGAGGTGACTAACAGGATCAGATGGTCAGGCTAACTGATTAGTTGACACATGTCACTGTATCCCAGTTCCGTACATCAATGCTCATGGTGTTGATCACTGGATTGTCTGATCCAGGGTTCCGATTGTCAAAGTGTTCTGACCCGTGAAGATCCGGGAAAGAATAGGTCTTCAGCAACCCATGCTTGCCACAAAAGGCGACTATGCTTGTCATAAGAGGCGACTAACGGGATTAGGTGGTCAGGCTCGCTGACTTGGTTGACACATGTCATCGGTTCCCAATTGCGCAGATCGATTATTTACAGACTGCCGCCATATAGCTGGAATATTACTGAGTGCGGCGTAAAACTGAACTCATTCACTCAAAGTGTTCTTGGGGCAGTGGGGTAGCCCCGCTTTCGCTTCGTCATGCCTTCTGAAGGCTCGGGTTCGATTCCCCAAATGGGTACAATGTGTGAAGCCCATTTCTGGTGTCCCCCGTTGTGATATTGCTGGAATATTGCTAGAAGTGGCATAAAAGCAAACTCACTCACTCAAAGTGTTTATTAGTGTTGTGAGGTATCGTAATTATTTAGTTTATCATAGGATTACGAATGACCTGGTGATATGAACGCTTTGTGGATTGGGCCCTTGTCTCGATTATCTACAGAACACAGTCCTATACCTGGAATATTGGTGAGCGTGGCGTTAGACAACAAACAAACAAATCAGTATGTGTGTCCGAATGCTTGAATGCTTTGCTACAGAGATTTTAGAAACCTCATCACTGATTGGCTGATTTGAAACTTCACTTGACACTTCTATGAAGATGTCCTGCGAGACAATATAAGTATTATTCCCTACTAACTGTTGTCGTGTCCTGTTTGCATATACAGATTAGGCTACACAGATGAAGCAGCCCTCTACGTTCGCCGGGCACTGAAACTGTGTCCTGATTTTCTAGCTGCCAGAGAGAATCTGGAGAATATCTGCAGTCACCTCGTTGAGCGTTGGCACTTTCGCATGTTGAATGACATGACACGAAACAGGGCATTTCGTGACGGCATTGACCTGGCAGTAACACAGGGTTTCAACACAGTGCTGGATATTGGTGCAGGGACAGGATTACTCAGGTGACGTCACTACTCATTGCATGCTGATACTAATATTTACAAATTATTGTGCATGATCGAATAGTTCCAGTTTAATACTCAGCAGTTTACATCTGATGTGTTATTTCATTCATGCATACAACCAATCACCTAAGGCACCACAGTTAAGTCCCTTGTTAGCGTTAGGATCCTATGATTGTAGGTTCAAATCTCAGATCTGCCTTGATTATGAGTCTTGCTGTTTCAGCATCCTACCCATGCTCAGGTAAAATGCTAAATAACCTACTTACCTTTCCCCACATTACATGTTACTGAAGCAGTGAGCAAACCGTTGTTAAGCCCAATAAGACATTCATAACTGCTTCGTAGATTTTCAGTGATTTTACAAAATCATTGATTTGACATATTCAATGTAACATACTACGTCAAAGTAAATACAAGTAGATGTAATGTAACTTGTTTTGAACTTGGATGTGTTGAACCTGCCTTCCTGTCCATACAAATTCCTTCTATATCTACATCATTCATACTAAGATCTGGATATGTCAAATTCCTGGTTGTCTCAGAATCATTTGGGAATCCCAAGTGTCCTAACTTGGCCACCCACCCTCACTCACTAAACTTCCAATTCAGTAACTCAAACTTTTTTTCTATTCTAGTTCACCACCAGTTTGGTACCGAGAGGTTCAACTGTACATTGCAGTAGTGACCAAACACACACTCTCTCGCTCAAAAACTCACTCATCCGTCACTCTCCTTGTTTGTTCCAGTTTGTTTGCTGAGGAAGCTGGTGCGGTGATTGTCCATGCGTGTGAGGTGTCCAAGTCAATGTGTGATGTGGCATCTGAGATTATCACAGCAAACTGCAGTGCTGCTGACAAAATAAATCTCATACCTAAACTGTCCCTGGACCTTTCTATTCCACAGGACATTCCTTCAAGGTAAACACCTGTCATCAGTGGACAAGGGAGTTTTTCTTCCCCACCCCCAGTTTACCAACTGATGCAGTATGTAAAACTACAAGACCAGACTAGCTGGTATGAAGGTCAATGTCATCTGATAGTTGTTCTCTTCATTTGTTTATCAAATCCATAAACAAAGAAAATTAAAAGATATAGCATTCATGGCCACCTTGTGATCATGTTCGTTCTTGTCAAAGTTTTTCTAAATGGCTAATTGAGTTCTTTGGGGGTGTAGCCAAAAAGGACTATGGAGCCCTACATTGTTGCTCACACCTATATTTGGTTTGTATAATTATTTTTATGGGGTTTGTTTGCCAGGGTGTCTCTGGTTGTCACGGAAACATTTGATGCGGGCCTGTTTGGGGAGCATATCATCTCAACACTTCACCATGCGTGGGAACACCTCCTCCTGCCGCCAGCTGAACACACACAAGTGAGAGGCAACCCTATCATAACACGTCTGAGTTTAGATATTACCATCGTGAAGATTACACTTCTTCAATATGCCGTATCGCACAAAATGCATTGTACTTCTGACTTTGTCTGTCATTACATCCCGTACTTAACATCACAGGCAGTGATTTCCATTGATACAGTATAGGATACTGGACCTGAATATTTCATAACAGTAGCAGTGTGACCACCGTAGAGTAATCAGATGGTTTAGGCTCTACTGATGGTGTCTTAAGATGCTTTGACAGCATTGATTGTAAAGTTTATATGACTGGATTGTCTGGTGCAGAAGGAGCCACTTAATGGACTCTGTTGTGTAGGCTTGGTTGATGATGTGTTGACATGCCGAGACAGCAGGGATCGTAAAGTTAATCAAGTAATAATAGAGAATATTTGCAGGCTGTCATCATTAAGCTGAAACATTGTTGTATGCAAGGTTAAACAACAAGAATGCTTACATCATGCTCACATCTAAAAAGTAAACTGTTCACTTTTTTAAAATTGCGTTTACCTGGTTTCAGTTAGAAAAGCGAAGTATAAAAACTTGTGGAGTTTAAACAGCTTCACAGCATGACAGTGATATTGCAGCAATGTGATCCATGGGCCAACCAGCACATCAATGTCAGGTTGGAGCAGATGCTGGAAAAGACGTTAATTGTTTCATGTGTCACTTGCTGCTTCAGAAAGGAGGCCGGGTCATCCCAGCTGGTGCATCAGTGTACCTGTGTCCTATAGAGTCGAAACCATTAGGAAAGGAAACAGGTAGGACTTCTGCTTTATAAAGTGTTGTCATAAATGTTGCTACAAGTACATGTATTACAGATCCATCTGTCACCATATAGCCAAGCACACTCCCTCCATTCCCCTCTCGCCTGCCAGAGTCTGTAACAGAATAAATTGGAATTATCATGATAATGACCATTTTTGTTTTGTTTGTTTGAAAATATAGAAAAATGTACAATATATTTATAACTTTACAATATAGTTGAATTTAGTTTTAGAACTTCCTTTTAATTATATATCTTGTTTCCTTCTTCCTTTAGGGATAAAGTTAAGTTACAGAAGTGATTAAAATTGGTACAGAAGGTATTTTGCTGCCTGTTCATGTGTATTTGTTGTCCTGTGCTATTGTGTATATCTCACCAGACTGCTGTATCCTGTGCTGCCTGTTCATGTGTATTTGTTGTCCTGTGCTATATTGTGTATATCTCACCAGACTGCTGTATCCTGTGCTGCCTGTTCATGTGTATTTGTTGTACTGTGCTATATTGTGTATATCTCACCAGACTGCTGTATCCTGTGCTGCCTGTTCATGTGTATTTGTTGTACTGTGCTATATTGTGTATATCTCACCAGACTGCTGTATCCTGTGCTGCCTGTTCATGTGTATTTGTTGTACTGTGCTATATTGTGTATATGTATAGACTCACCAGACTGCTGTATCCTGTGCTGCCTGTTCATGTGTGTATTTGTTGTACTGTGCTATATTGTGTATATCTCACACCAGACTGCTGTATCCTGTGCTGCCTGTTCATGTGTATTTGTTGTACTGTGCTATATTGTGTATATCTCACCAGACTGCTGTATCCTGTGCTGCCTGTTCATGTGTATTTGTTGTACTGTGCTATATTGTGTATATCTCACCAGACTGCTGTATCCTGTGCTGCCTGTTCATGTGTATTTGTTGTACTGTGCTATATTGTGTATATCTCACCAGACTGCTGTATCCTGTGCTGCCTGTTCATGTGTATTTGTTGTACTGTGCTATATTGTGTATATCTCACCAGACTGCTGTATCCTGTGCTGCCTGTTCATGTGTATTTGTTGTACTGTGCTATATTGTGTATATCTCACCAGACTGCTGTATCCTGTGCTGCCTGTTCATGTGTATTTGTTGTACTGTGCTATATTGTGTATATCTCACCAGACTGCTGTATCCTGTGCTGCCTGTTCATGTGTATTTGTTGTACTGTGCTATATTGTGTATATCTCACCAGACTGCTGTATCCTGTGCTGCCTGTTCATGTGTATTTGTTGTACTGTGCTATATTGTGTATATCTCACCAGACTGCTGTATCCTGTGCTGCCTGTTCATGTGTATTTGTTGTACTGTGCTATATTGTGTATATCTCACCAGACTGCTGTATCCTGTGCTGCCTGTTCATGTGTATTTGTTGTCCTGTGCTATATTGTGTATATCTCACCAGACTGCTGTATCCTGTGCTGCCTGTTCATGTGTATTTGTTGTACTGTGCTATATTGTGTATATCTCACCAGACTGCTGTATCCTGTGCTGCCTGTTCATGTGTATTTGTTGTACTGTGCTATATTGTGTATATCTCACCAGACTGCTGTATCCTGTGCTGCCTGTTCATGTGTATTTGTTGTACTGTGCTATATTGTGTATATCTCACCAGACTGCTGTATCCTGTGCTGCCTGTTCATGTGTATTTGTTGTACGGTGCTATATTGTGTATATCTCACCAGACTGCTGTATCCTGTGCTGCTGAACCTTGACCTTCGGGGCATTGACCTCGTGTGTCGGACGTCGGTCAGTGAGGAGGAGCCCTACACAACAGAGAGGCTATCGTCAGTCAGGGGAGGATACCGGCAGCTTGCTCCACCGAAAGTTGCACTGAAGGTCAACTTCTGTAATCCACAGGTAAATATGTCTTGGTTGTGGCACTCGTGAAGCTCCAGGTTATAATTTGTTTTCAGCAACCCATGCTTGTCGTAAGAGGAATCAGGTGGTCAGGCTTGGTGACTTTGTTGAAACATGTCGTTGTATGCCAGTTTCGTAGATCGATGCTCATACTGTTGATCACTGGATTGTCTTGTCCAGACTCAATTATTCACAAAAGCAACATACCTGAGGCATTAATGTTGTACATATGAAAGTAGCAGCTCAATCATCTTTAGGTGATTGTGTCGACTCTTCTTCAATGGACATTCAGATTACTTTTGTTATCTGGTGACACTAAAGGTCAAGGTCACTATTTGGGGATACATTTTTTATTACAATTACAGTGTTACTTCTTATGGGTGTGTACAATATCGAAGTTAGAGTTCCATCATGTAAGTGCTATGTTTACATTTAACAAAACAAATATGATTGATTATGGCTATTCTCCTTCCAGGAAGTTGCAGCACTGCATGATGGGATTGACAAGATGGAGGAGCTGCACATAAACCAAGCAGGCAAGCTGGATGCTGTTGCCATGTGGTTTGACCTTGACCTTGACAAGAATGTGACCATCACCACAGCTCCACACATTGTCAACTGCTGGGACCAGGCTGTGTTCCCTGTCCTGGCGTCACACTTCACTCAAGTACAAGAAGAAGGTACAACACATGTTCTTGTTCTCACGCTTCATTGATCCAGCAGAAACAACTCACCAAACCAACATTTTATTTCAACCAAAGAATATTATCCTCAGAGATAGGTGCTTCTTTTTTAATAAAGATTTGTTGCTTGCAGTATCTGTTCTCAAATGTCATATCACATGTTCATGTTTTTACAGATATGTCCAGGTCTGCCTCGGTTATTTGTTGTTGATTTTCTGTTTAAGATGTGCGTGAAAACTTCGCAGTGAAAGAAGGCGACAGAGTGAGTGTGAACTATTCTTTGCAAGATGACTGTTTCCGTGTCCGTTGTCGGAAAGTGACAAGAGCTCACAATCCTTCCAGATCTGAAAAGAAGAAACATTTCCGTAAAATGGACGATGCCAGTCACATGTATTCCCTGTCTCAGTGTGAAATCTCACAGTTGAATGACATCACACTGAATAGACATTACCTGCAAGCCCTGGAAGCAGCTAGAAAGAAAATACCTCACGCGACATCGCTACTTGACCTTTCAGATGGGTTCTCTCCCCTTGGACTTCAGGCTGCATTGATTGGCTACAGTGATATAACAATAACGTCGTCATCGGAGGAAACAAGGGAAATACTGTGTCATATTGCAGATATTAATAGCATATCTCGGGACCAACTGACATTTATTCAAGCGAAGGAGATACTGGACACGGACATGGAGTTTGATACCATTGTTGTTGAGCTGTTTGAGTCAAGTGGAGTCTTTAGGCAGCAGATACTGGAGGACTTGGCACTAACACGGTAAAATTATTGTTGACTTGGAGAAAGAAAAAGTCATGTGTTGTCACCAAGACCTTCAATTTTGAATATGTGTAATATGTTCAACCTGAGATACAAATGTCTCCCTGACAAGGATAGGGAAGAAATACTTTTAATCATGAAACACCATTCCATTTTGAAAGTGGTCAAATGTTATGTTTGGGATTACAGCCGCGGTGCATAACTCTGAGAATGTGGGTTCAAATCCCAGATGGGACTCATCCTAAAAAGTACTAGAATCTGTACTTTACTGAGAAAGTTAATCCCAAATATAACGTATGTTGCTTGTTATTAGTTTCATGGATAATAGGATGCCATACAGGAACAACAGGAACAGACGTTAGTTATTGCTGTTATAAGTGAATCTGTAAGAACATTTTCTGACACCATTAATACTTAGGATTGTTCTTAAAGTCCTTTTAACTTCTCAGAGTTTTTACAGTAACTTCTCAGTGTTTTACAGTAAAATACCTTTATAACGAACTCCAAGGGACCACTGAAATTAGTGTGTTATATCCCGTTCGCTATTCACTTTTTTATATGATAATATAAGGTTTATTCGGGACTTTTAAAACAGTTCGCTATAGCCGTCAGTTCGTTATATCCATGTTTGTTATGAAAGTATTCTACTGTATTATGAAATCCTTATTGATATTATTACATACATGTAATTATCCTGTATTGCAAACTACTTTCCTGCTCTACATTTTGTAAGGGGAGGGTAGCCTAGTGGAGTAATGCCAAAGACATGAGTTTGATTCCCCACATGGGTACAATGTGTGAAGCCCATTTCTGGTGTCCCTTGCTGTGATATTGCTGCAATATTGCTAAAAGCGGCCATATGCGCTTGCTCAGCTCACTCACTTACTGTTGTATGACCCAGTGTGACCATGCGCTGTTTCAGATTGACCTCCCTGACAGGAGGGGGTGTTGTGTTGCCAGGGAAACTGACGGTGATGGGAATGTGCATTGAGTCGGAGGACTTGGCCAAGTCCAGCTTTGTTGTGACCAGTGAATACACACTGGGTTATCAGATAGCAGACTTCATCCGAGACTTTCAGGTTGTGAGATTTTACATTGTGCAATGAAGCATTTATCAGTACCATCACATTAATCATTAAAGTAGTGCCATCAAGCCTGGATCAGTACACTCATACCAATCATTAATGTAGTACTGTCAAGCCTTGATCAGTACACTCACATCAATCATTCCTGTAGTGCAGTCAAGCCTTGATCAGTACACTCACATCAATCATTACTGTAGTGCAGTCAAGCCTTGATCAGTACACTCACATCAATCATTAATGTAGTGCAGTCAAGCCTTGATCAGTACACTCACATCAATCATTAATGTAGTGCAGTCAAGCCTTGATCAGTACACTCACATCAATCATTTCTGTAGTGCAGTCAAGCCTTGATCAGTACACTCACTTCAATTATTAATGTAGTGCCATCAAGCCTTGATCAGTACCCTTACATCAATCATTAATGTAGTGCAGTCAAGCCATTGTCAGTACACTCATACCAATCATTAATGTAGTGCAGTCAAGCCATTGATCAGTACACTCACACCAATCATAAATGTAGTGTGCAAGTCAAGTACCTCACATCAATCATGTAGTACACTCAGTACACTCATCAATCATTCCTGTAGTGCAGTCAAGCCTTGATCAGTACACTCACATCAATCATTAATGTAGTGCAGTCAAGCCTTGATCAGTACACTCACATCAATCATTAATGTAGTACCGTCAAGCCTTCATCAGTACACTCACATCAATCATTAATGTAGTGCCATCAAGCCTTGATCAGTACACTCACATCAATCATTAATGTAGTACGAAGCAGTCAAGCCTTAGTAGTGCAGTCAAGCCTTGATCAGTACACTCACATCAGTACACTCACATCAATCATTAATGTAGTACCAGTGCATTCCTACATCAATCATTAATGTAGTCAAGCCCTTGATCAGTACACTCACATCAATCATTAATGTAGTGCCATCAGCCTCATATCAATCATTAATGTAATCAAGCCTTGATCAGTCAACTTGATCAGTACACTCACATCAATCATTAATGTAGTACTGTCAAGCTTTGATCAGTACACTCACATCAATCATTAATGTAGTACTGTCAAGCTTTGATCAGTACACTCACATCAATCATTAATGTAGTGCCATCAAGCCTTGATCATCACACTCACATCAATCATTTCTGTGGTGGAGGGTATGTTTACAGCTGATCTGTATGTTTTCAGGCAACAACTCACCCAGATATTGATCTTCACACCCTCACATACAAGAGACTCTGTGAGCCATTTGAACTGTTTCAACTGGACTTCAATGAAGACAGGTCAGATTCTGATCTCCCACCATTCCTTCAACAGGAAAAGGAAGTGAGTGTATTTGTGACAGACACAGGGTGTGTCCATGCAGTGGTATATTGGTTTGAGGTGCAGGTGATGGACGACATCCGATTCAGCACTTTGGATCCAAGTCTTCACTGGAGACAAGCAGCCAAGATGATTGGAGGACATGTGGTTGTGTCAGCCGGCCAGACTCAGACATTTAAACTGATACTGAAAAACAGCTGTATTGATGTTAAAGTGGCTACATGAGACAGCTGTTACTGAGTGCATCTGGAAACAGCTGTATAGATGTTAAACCAGTTACATGAAACAGCCCTCACTAAGTGCATCTGGAAACAGCTGTATAGATGTTAAACCAGTTACATGAAACAGCCCTCACTAAGTGCATCTGGAAACAGCTGTATAGATGTTAAACCAGTTACATGAAACAGCCCTCACTAAGTGCATCTGGAAACAGCTGTATAGATGTTAAACCAGTTACATGAAACAGCCCTCACTAAGTGCATCTGGAAACAGCTGTATAGATGTTAAACAAGTTACATGAAACAGCCCTCACTAAGTGCATCTGGAAACAGCTGTATAGATGTTAAACCAGTTACATGAAACAGCCCTCACTAAGTGCATCTGGAAACAGCTGTATAGATGTTAAACTTGTTACATGAAACAGCACTCACTAAGTGCATCTGGAAACAGCTGTATAGATGTTAAACCAGTTACATGAAACAGCCCTCACTAAGTGCATCTGGAAACAGCTGTACAGATGTTAAACCAGTTACATGAAACAGCCCTCACTAAGTCATCTGGAAACAGCTGTATAGATGTTAAACCAGTACATGAAACAGCCCTCACTAAGTGCATCTGTTAAACAAGTTACATGAAACAGCCCTCTAAATGCATCTGGAAACAGCTGTATAGATGTTAAAAACAGTTACATGAAACAGCCCTAGTTACTAAGTGCATCAGGAAACAGCTGTATAGATGTTAAACCAGTTACATGAAACAGCCCTCACTAAGTGCATCTGGAAACAGCTGTATAGATGTTAAACAAGTTACATGAAACAGTCCTCACTAAGTGCATCTGGAAACAGCTGTATAGATGTTAAACCAGTTACATGAAACAGCCCTCACTAAGTGCATCTGGAAACAGCTGTATAGATGTTAAACCAGTAACATTAGACAGTTGTTACTAAGCGCTTCTGAAAATAGCTGTATAGATGCTAAACTAGACACATGGAACACATCTGCTAGTTGACTTTTATGATTGAAAGAACATTTCGTGAAGCTACAGGTCTCCTAGTTGTTGAATTCATGATGAAATGGGTTTTTGTAGTAGACAGTAATTGAATATTCATGCATCCTTACCTGTATGTTGAGGTGCATCACATGTTGATGGACATATTCATGAATGGCCAATATACCTGAATGTTGAGATGCATCACATGTTGACGGACATATTCATGAATGGCCAATATACCTGAATGTTGAGATGCATCACATGTTGGACATATTCATGAATGGCCAATATACCTGTATGTTGAGATGTATCACATGTTGACGGACATATTCATGAATGGCCAATATACCTATGTTGAGATGCATCACATGTTGACGGACATATTCATGAATGGCCAATATGCCTGTATGTTGAGATGCATCACATGTTGACGGACATATTCATGAATGGCCAATATGCCTGTATGTTGAGATGCATCACATGTTGACGGACATATTCATGAATGGCCAATATACCTGTATGTTGAGATGCATCACATGTTGACGGACATATTCATGAATGGCCAATATGCCTGTATGTTGAGATGCATCACATGTTGACGGACATATTCATGAATGGCAAAATACCTGTATGTTGAGATGCAGATATTCATGTACCTGGGTATGTCCAGATCGTTATGTACATATTTAAGTGCATCAATTGTTGACAAATATGACACACTAATCAACAATAAATAAATATTACTTTACAGTACATCACCAATGGGTGGTGTATGATCTTCAACACAACCAAATGTTTTGATATTTGTTTATTCATACATCTGTATATTATCACAAATTTACAGTTTCTTGTAAAAAGAGGTGTGGAAACAATTGCACATTTTCAGCAATGTGAGACATTCCATATTTACAAAATTACATCACAAAGGGAAACAATATTATGTGTGTGGAACCTGTGTTTGTTTCATGTTCATTCTAGGATTAAAATTGTTACAGCTGTTCAGGCTCTATTATTATCGTGGAACAAGAGGTACATAGCACAGTTGTATCTGGTGCTCACACATTAACTGAGGAAATGACAGTCATCAAACTGTCTTCATACTCTGTAACTGTTGATACTATCCACAGTTACAACCTGTACAATACATTTCAATATCAGTGGGGTATTATGTTGTTTATCTGGTTATACAAGCACACATACAAGCACCCAATGCTAAACAGTTCAAATCACAATATCTGTTCCAATACCATCATGCTGGAATGTGGAATACAGATCCTTAAAATTTATTCTCTCTTTAGGACATATGCATATGAATAAAATAATAATAATACACTTATAAAGTTCTGAACTTGAAGACCTTCATTATTATTGCCCCATTCAATGAATCAGTGATCACATGATTATCATTCTCAACTCCCTGGGGAGTACACAAACCAAGCTGCCTGTGAGGTACTGGCCCATGGAGACTCCACAAGATGCAGATGTGTTAACTTCACCTGACATGTGACTGCACTGTATGAAGCACCATGTGCACCACATTGATTCTGGTGGCATGTGGTCCTGTGCATAGTACTCAGGTCACACATCAGTGGAAGTTAAGCAATGTTGGATGCGGAAAGTCCTTGGATGGGTGACCATGTTCAGCAGTTTGACTCCAGAGAGTTTCTAGGACTTCAGTCCTGCCCCACAACGATACACATGTGATATATGTTGTCTCACCTTAGGCAACTGAGTTTGTTCAAACATGCCTCTGTTCACCCAGCAGGAAATGGGTACCCGGTGGGAAAAATCATGTGACTATAACCTAGCGCCTCACAGGCAGCTTTGGTTATCCAGGGTAATAATGTGCTGTGCAAGCGTTTGTAGCAGACACTTGGTGCCTGGAATATTTAGCGCAATGAAAATAACACTCAAAATTTATTATTATTATTTCACTCATTTGCTAATATGCAGTGACGTCCCACCGATGACACACAGTGCAAATACATCTAAAAAGTGATATAAAATGCAGTAACTGTTTCAGAAGAAGGCTGCAATGATACTCTCAGTCACTGGAAACTATACATGAAAAGAGTACCAGTGTGCAGTGAACACAAATCATATCATAGATGGTTCATCAAATCACAACCTTACATTTATGGGCTACAGGGATATGTAATATAGTCTTGTGCTATGGTCCTATATTTTGGAATGATAAAGTCTGGGGGATCAAGATTTCTACTATTTTGAAACTTTTCATTTTTGTACAGCATTTCAACCCCATAATACAATTGACCAAATATACGTGTATTTTCAAAGACATTATCTCTGAATGTTTAATCACACATTCAACTGAAAGCATCTTGCAGTATGAACGCCATGTCATGAAGTATATACAAGAAATATGGTGGATGAGCTCAACGACTTACAGTAATATCACAGAGTTTGAGCAATGAATGACAATCTTCCTAGCGCAATAGTTTTCATGGGGAATCAATTGTTTCTGGAACACCTTTTCCTGAGTAATTATTAATGTTACAATTAGTCACAAACACTGACAGAAAATATTTCAGTTGCTGGTAAGTGAAACCATCTAATATTTTGCATTTTATGATGTTGAAGTTTATGTTACCGGTACTTTGATTTTCATTAGACATGTACACATGATTAGCTTAAATGATAAGATTCACCTGTTGTGAAGAGTGTTTTCAGGATTACCTGCCCTTGATGTATGTGAAAAATGATGGAAGCAAGAAACAACAAACTAGTTCATGGCAATGTTCAGCTGCTCTTAAAGCTACAATTATTGTCAGTGTAAATGTATGGTAGTCCTAGCAGCATTACACAATGATTGGCAACACAGATAATATTGCAAGCAGTTGGGATCTATGCTATTTTATAGGTGGGATAGTTGAGTACATGGAACAGTATGCTAATACGCAAGAATACTGATATCACTAAAGGGAAAATATCCTGGATGATTTGTTTAGAACTGCCACACATTCATGCATAATGTTTCAACATAAAGCACATGGTGTTGATGGAAAGAGAATCCAAATGTGGACAGAGATGATAAGCGTTTGTGATGAAGAGGAAGATCGTTTGGTCTCATATCTGAACAAGGCACTTTTCCTCCTTCAGATATTGTTCTCTAACTTACTGGCTCTTAAAGGAAATATCAAGACCCAAGTTGATCATTTGCTAGTAGATTCAATCATTCATCATATATTTTCATGGTTTGTCAATACTGAGATGAAATAATACATATTGTGTAGGCAATCTTAATCCTACAACACTTAATTTGTAATGGCTGACATATTACTGATGCAATTTGTGCCAAAACTGTTTTAGCCTACTGGCTACTTGATTTTACAAGCACCATATGTACCTGTCTGCTTTGAATATTTTGAATCAAATTGAAATCATTGCATTTGAAATGACAAACAGGTACTTTGTTGACATATGTGTCTTTTCACATTATCTCATATCTACAATAGTAACAATACATTATAACCCTAGGTTTGCACATTTAATGAAGTGTCATGGCAACTTTACGACCTGCTAAACATTTTCTGTTGTTCCTGTACCTGGTCCATTTTGAGGATTACTTCCTGTTTGTGAAATGTCATTATCAACAGAAAAATTCACATCCTCATCCTTCATGGTTTGTGTTTGATGCTGCTGTGCTTCCTTTTGTGGGGCACCTGCTACCTCACCTGAAGCAGGAATGTCAGCATCCTCATCAGAAAAATCTACTAAAGGGGGATCACTTTGTGCTGTTGTTCCCGACTCAGCCTCACCAGAAAAATCTACTAAAGGGGGATCACTCTGTGCTGTTGTTCCCGACTTAGTCACTGGATGCACTATCACAGTCTCTGTCTCAACTTTCCCTTTCACACTCTTCCCAAGTTTGTTTAAGCTAGACACAGACCCTGCTACAGCTAGGCTTTGGTCCTGGTAATCTCTACCAGCATGTGCTTCAACACTTGTGCTAAAGTCAACATAATTGTTCATACTAGCTGTTGCTGACTGATTCACGAAAGAATCGTGGGTCTGGTCAACAGACGACCCATCCCAGTCAGTTGCAACAGACTCGTTGAAGTCATTGCTGACAACTACCGGAGGTGTATGTTTGGACCCCCTTGTCTCATCATTGATTGAAGTGGCAACATTACTGGGGCCATTTAGAAGTGGCGTCCTCTCTCCACGTTTATCGTCTTTCCTCCTCCCCAGTCTCTTTTGGACACCTTTTCCTGGAAAGTGAAGAATAAACGTAGCATGTAGCAGTAGCATCAGGGGCTCTGACGGGTCGGGTACGGCAGTACTCGAGTACAAATTCCAGGACTCGAGTACCCGACAAAGTGAGATAACTCTAAATTAAACGTGACCAGTTGTGCAGTCAAAACCCAAAACCAAGTGTCGCCTTTGTGGCTCACAGTTATTTTGTACCATGTCCAAAGACCCTCCATAAATTACCTTATGAAAGAATATGCCGACACCAAAACTCAGCTTAAGGATATTCTCAAGCAGTCCCCCGGGCGTATATTTGACAACAGATATGTGGACCAGCTGTGCCACCCACGGTTACATCACCGTCATGGGGCATTACATCATAGACGATGGGATCTAAAATCATGCATTCTTGCCACTAGATGCGTGGAGGATCATCCATGATGCACTTTGTTACAATGTACAATCTTTTCAAAGAAATTCACATTTGATATTGGTTACGAAATGTGCTTTAATAAATGTTCTGATTTTGACAATGGCTTCTTTTTTCTGAGTTTTATTATCTGCATTTTGGGTTAAATCTCATTGTTACCCCAGTCTCAAAGCTTTTCAGACTCTCGATTTTGTGTATTCATAACCACTTGTTTATAAACCGCTTGACGCTATAGTTTGTGCCAGTGCTCAGTTGAGTAATGTAGCCCTGCATAGACCAATGCTAGTCAAATCATGAGTCAATGATATTAGGTTTGTGTTTCGTTAAATAACTGTCTTTTAAGGAAAGATTTTGTATAAGTTTTCAATCAATACAGATGTTATAACTTATTAGTGCGGCATTCTTGTGTGAAATATATTGATGAAAACTACTTAAAACACATGCACATTGCTCTCACTAAAATTAATACTATAATTTTCAGGTACTCGAGTCCGGGTCGGGTTTTGTAGCCCGAGTTTTGCTACCCATCAGAGCCCTAGTAGCATTAGGAGTTAATGAAGCCTCACAATTTTTACATCACCTGCCAGTTAAGACAACCATTTAGTAGATAGTAGGATCATCTATTATCAAGGCAAAACCTTTTAAAAACTTGTTTACAAATCCATTCCACTAGATGTGAAAGAAAAGTACTATAAATGAAACACGGTGTCTGGGGTTGTTTTTCATTACAACTTATCCCCTACATGACTTTTTAAACAAAATATCTTTGCCCACTCCATCTGATAAAAATGTCTGCCCTGGAGAACAATTTACATTGCTTGTTAGTTATCCCATTAACTTTAACAGAAGAATATTTAGAGTGTTGTGCAACTGACCGACGTAGCGGGCATGTTCGATGACATCATCCCTGACGTCGCGCACGTCCCACATGGACAGGAATGACGTGCAGCAGTTGCTCTGGTCAGCTTCCTCGCCCATGTACGGTTTGTGGGAGAAGGAGTAATAGTGAGCCACTGCGGCAAAAAACATCTCAATACAGATGCAGAAATCCTGAAAAAAAGAAAGAAAAAAAACAGGTCAAAAATGTATCAACACTGTAATGATCCATAAGCTTATCACTACCAAGAATTTTCGGTAGATAAATAGAGCAAACTACGCGTATGTCAAACTGATGAAGTTACATCACCTAGTTTTTCAGTCCAAACAACTTTCTGTAATATTGAGTCAAAATTCATATAATGAACTAAAATTAGTAGTCCCTGTGGTTCACAGTAATCTTTTTTCCAAATATTTCATACAAGAAGATTCAACACAAATCTGACAGAACTATTGTTGCCATCAAAAATGCATCATCACTGATAACTTGAAAAACTTGTTTTCCCATCTTCACGGGCTTGTGTTTTTTTATAAAATGGTCACCCTGTCGGTGGCTACCTGTAATCCAGTTGCCTCCTCCTTCACTGACTTGTAAAACAACCATGGCCCATTTTGTGGAATAGCTCCAAGTTTAGCCAGAGCTGCTATCACTACCGACTGCCTGTAACATAGTCATCATTGACAATACAACCCATCGTTCATCATCTGTGATATAGTATAATACTGAAGAAATTAAGAATACAAGACATTGCATTGTTCTTATTGATCAAGTATAATCATTGTGCAACCGTAGCTGTTTAAAACTACATGATCAGGGTACTCTTAGTAAAAAGGTTTTTAAGAGATGCGTGTTTATTCAGTAAGGGGGCCACCGACCCTTTATACACATACATGTCAGAAGGATTCAAGATATGACATGAAGCGTCATAAAAGTGACGGAATGAACATAGAGGTATAATTGTACAGAGATGTGAACACAAGATCAGCAGGATGCAAAATATTTCATACGTTTTTACATAGCTAAAAATATATATTTAGCAAGGTTGTTTATAATAATATTATTCTGAGAAGTAAACAGTAGAGCTAGCTTGTTTTCAGAAGGATATACATGATAAAAACGTGGTATGAGAGATGCTCTTAGTCTTACACATCTTAGCAGGATGGACTTTCACTAGTTCACACACTCAACATCTACTCATCACAACATCTACAGCTCAACATCCGATACACTCCTCTAGTCATCTTCAACTGACCTAATAACTAAATAAATATACTTTACAAGAACCACAGTAATCAGATGTTTCAAGACTATTTCTACACACCATTCTTCATTAACCTTTTACCATCATTATGGAAAATCTTTGCTAACATAAGTTTGGGCTGAGAGCGTTTGACAGTTTATGGATTGATAGCAGTGAAAGATTATATTCTTATGTCTAAACAAACATGGAGTGTTCGCCTACTGTATCCTGAATGACGTATTTACAGTTTATACTAAACATTAATTTGCCTTTCACTGATATCACAATATAAACAGATAACATTTACCAAAATGATAAGAAGACCACAGCCTTGACACACAGAAACTTGGGTAGGGGCTTGATTGGAGCCAGTTCTTCTTTGGCTGATTTGTAGAACAGGATCAAACAATACATGGCCCACTGAAAAATGCATATCAGCTAATTGTATTTCACAGATCACCTGTTGACATGACAACTGAACTACAAAATTTATCTGGGTTTTTCATTTCCTTCTTCAAACAATTCATTCACATCCTCGTGAAACTAACAACATGAAATTCACATTTCTGTTACAAAATAACACAGACAAGATACTAGTGAACGGCACCTCCTAAGATTTACACGGGGAATTCCAAGAGTTGACATTTACCTTTCAAACACCAAAATCATAAAACTCCACCTTCACTGTAAACCCTTTAGTGAAAATCCTTTAGCACACACTTACAATCTGCGAGATGTTGTTGAAGATGACAAGATAGGACCAGGCAGTTGTGAAGTTGAAATCCCCCTTCATCATACTTTCCACCAAGTTCGCACAGTCTATAGGAGGAAACGACTTCATCAAAGTCATTGTCAAAACATATGCACAGCCAAAGAACTTTATTGGGCTTCCTTCCTCAAAGATACACTATTTCCTCAGTATCTGTACCTAACCCTGCTTGAATTGGACAAATATGTTTGCCAGGTTTACAGTGTGTATCAGTCTCATTCAGATTCAGTTTGAAGCAAACATGAAGCCTTGAGAACTTATATCAAAATTATAGCTCTCAAATAGAGCTAGTCAATGAAGACTACCCTCACTTCATTTTTACTTGTCCTGAGCTAAATTTGGTAGTCATGGTCTAACAGGCTAACACAAATTTCAGAGGCTGTAATCAAATATCTTTCATGCACATTATATTCCAGCAGCTACCAAAATAAGCTATTTAAATAAGAAAATATTGGTTATCTGCCATTATAACAAAGCAACCATGTTGTAGGTTTACATATGTAGAGGTATTAACATAGACTCACAAAGCAATAACTGTTGTAGCTGGCCTCACTACTGTGTACTGCAGCACCCCATGCTTACATCTCTGCAGAAACAATCTGTTGAAGACAAAGACACATTTACCACCACAGCCTCTGATATAGCATTACATGAACCAAAATCTGTATTCAACAGGTTGTACAGTACGGAATTGACCTAAACTACTGAAATCAGTACTTAAGCATGCTGACCATTAGAAATCTTATGATTTGATACGTAAAAGTTAGTGTGATAGAGTATGGGTTTACATAGCTTTTAGCAATATTACAGTAATATCAATGCAGGGAACACCAGAAATTGACTTCACACCATGCATTCATTCAAGGAATCTGCATGATGAGTGAAACTTGAACCACTAGGCTACCCCACAGCCCAGATTTCCTAAAAGTGGCATAAAACTCACTCACCCACTCTGAACTCTGGAAGAGCACCAAGAGTACCATTTAGAGCAACCACCATCAGTGCTGTACTTACTTGCCCATCGGCCATGGTGGGAGAAGACAGAATGGGATCATGTGTTTGACCTGGTCCTTATTCTCCAGTTCAATATCCAGATGTGGATGTTCTTGATGAAGATAATTCATTAGGTAGCGCATGAAGTTGTAGATGACATATGCCTCATAGCATTCTCGCACTGTGTCAAGGTAAATAGCAGCCCTCGAATCGGAGAGCAAACCACTAAAATTGATAAACAATTGTTTTTAGAACTGATATTTTACAGAGTATTGATATTATACAAAACCTATAATCATAACCATTTTTTAATAGCAACCATACAAGAGTTTATCAGAAAATGTACAGGCTCTTCTGTCTCTTGTCTTAACAAAAGAGTTAAGCTGATTACATGACATGGGATTTTCAAATATGACATATGGTTGCAGGTGACATGATATGTTTTTACACTGTTTTAGCAATATTTCAACAATAACACGGCAGGGGAACACCAGAAATGGTCTTCACACATTGTACCCATGTGGGATATCAAACATGGGTCTTCAGTGTGAGGAGCAAACGCTTTAACCAGTAGGCTACCCCACTGCTCTTTCAATTTAATGAGAGAGATGGATGGATTAATTGAATATATGTTTAATGCTTCACACCTCACACAAGAAAAGGCATTTTAGTGATTGATATTAAGAGCAATGAACAGTGACATGGGGTACTCCTGCATGTAATCAATCAAACCACAGGGCCCTGACCACCCAATCATCTAAGTCATCTTACGAATGGCTGGTGACCTATGGATTAAGACTAATGTGCCAAATTTCAAATCAACCTTCAGTGCAAGTGACCTAACATAAAACAAATGCACTTACGGCATTAAGGGCATAAATTGGAACCATCCACAAAATTCTGAAAAATTGAAAAAAATTAATCAGTCATTCACATTTAAGATCATGTAAAAATATATCTAAATACACACAGCAGTAACTTTTTCCTCACTTTTCTGTATAATATCAGTGTCTGAAGTTAGGTTAAGATTCAATCCCCATACCCTCCCGTCAAAATGTTAAAGTTTGACTTACAAGAAAATGACCTCATACTTTCATGATAAATTTAAAGTTTGACTACTTAGTATTAAGAATATTAACACAAAGATAGACATGAAAACAACAACATATTTTTCTGGGAGTGTTAGGGACCATTCATAATTTATGGCTAGGAGGGATGATGATGATTTTTATGGAGAAGCATGTAGAATTTGAATGTCTGCGACCCCTACCCTCCAAGAGTTTTTGTAAAAAGTAAGTGAACCCCCCTGCATGTCATGTACAAAATCAATGACACCTCCTCCCCTTTCCCATAAATTCTAAGCATAATTTTGTAATATTTTTATGTACAAAATTGCTGAACCCCACACCACGACCCGAACAAAATCCCTCCTCTTAAAATCATCACCCCATCCCACCCTACACCCAAGCCATAAATTATGAACGGTTCCTTATCTTGTATCTCCATGGTCTAATGACTGTTCAGTTGAAAGATAATAAAATGCACAGGTGACCTCCTGTTCATGGCATATACCTCTGAGCACGGCAGTTTTTCCATACTCTTTATCCTGACATCCAAAACACTGACTTAATTAGCAAACAGTAATAAGGAAACTGACAGCGGCTAGAGAATGACCATCAAATATCTGTAGATCCCACAGGTACATATATCTCATGAATCGTGAGTGTTGAAAGCAGCAGTTCAATTAGACATACCTTATAATGTTTCTTTGCAGCTGTGGTTGTGTATAATATACTAGGTGCTGTACAATTCCCCAGATAGAAATTGGCAGAGACATCATAACAAAGAGTCCACCGACAAACCAAGCTTGAACATGGACCTCCTTCTTAGTCCTATTTAATTCCCATATGCAGAGGGGCAGTGCTACTGTCAATAATATTATGTAGACAAGTATAACTAAAGGCCGTATCCATTTCCGCCATCGATTAAAACAATCCATGGTGCTTCTTCACCTCGAAAACCGCACCACTTCTCGTCAAATCTTATTATTTAGAATAGCAGCCGACATTTTGCTGTCATGTGATTACTCCTGCGCAAATTTGCAACATCCGGTTCCAATATACTACTAGAGGTTAAACTTATAGTATTAGTTATAACGATTTCTTTTTCAGTAGATAGACATTTCACACTAATTGACATTGCATAGTACTTAAATATATACGATTTATATTATTAGTAAGGAATACATTTCGTATTGAAAATTTGGACTGGCAACATAAGCCTTTAATACATTTTTTTAGACATAGTTAATGAGTTATTATACCACTCTGATATAAATCAGGAGACTCATTTCCGTGTTATCTGCCCTCAGACTGTGCGTCATATTCGTGCAACAACTTTGTGACAGTTAGTCAGATTTTTCATCGAATGACTTAAAACATCTGAGGAATCAGTCCAAAGGTAACACGGGTATATTCGAAAATTGTGAATGATACCTGTCAGTCTGAATGAGTGTCATAAATTGAGTTTCCTGTCACCTAATATTACTTGTAAACAACCAGATCGAATTCAGAGTCAGAGCCCAAGTGTAAAGACTGTCGTACGTGTCTACGTTGAAGTGAAATACTGTTCTAAATGTCAATTATTTTTCATTTTAAAAATCTCTCTTAGTAATTAATTCTGTCAAATTTAGATATCAAGATTGTGTAGGATCTGGTATGTCTGTTATGTATGAGAGTTGAGAATATATCTGGTACCTCCCTTGATTGTTTTTATTATGAGAGAACCTCATAAAGACATTTGTTTTCTCTTCACTTCAGTTGTTTGTGAGAAACTGAATTTTTAGAAAATGAACACAATTATGAATGATGAGGAAGACGGTCTGAGTATAAGAATGTATATTTTGAATTCATTTTTGAGGCAATACAATTACCTTTGTATCATCAGAATTTGATCACCTACAATAGAAAACAAAGTCACTAATTTTCAAATGGATATGATGATGAATTTCCGTAAACATATGGATGTTTTATTGTATATTCCCATCACCATGGACAGCCAAGGTTGACAACATTGCTGTTCTTACTGGTTGAGGGATTTTATGGGCTAGTCAATTTGAGCATTTGTAACATTCATTTATAAACATGCTAACAATTCAAGAAGTCAGATCATTGAAAGCTTTTCTCAGTAACTTCCCCAAATTGAATGTTCATGATGTAGGTATAATAGAATAAAAAAATATATCTTGCCATATCTGATTACTTTGTAGTGCACAGTGTTTTACTTTTCTTTGAATTTTAGACCCAACATGGCATGTGCACCAGCCCAGAGTGAACAAGGAGCAAGGCCACGCCCCCCTCGACCACCACCACCCAATGTAAGTTCGGCAGAGAGAAGTACATTTTCTCATCTCAAGAGGCTTTGTACTAAAGCTCACCAGCATGTGGAAGAGGCTCTATCGCTGGATGAGGGTAATAGAGACTTGGATGCTAAGGAAGAATATCTACAGGCACTACACCTCATTGACCAAGCAATGGCTATGGATTGTGAAAAACTGAATTTTACAGCTGATGATCAAAATTCTGCCAAACTAATGCAACAAAAAATGTCAAAAACCAAACTTCAAATTGAATACAGAATGCAGGCTATTGAAAGGGAAGAAGCTGTTGCAAATTCATATCCTGATCTGGAAGAACGAACAAGGCTAGACTCCCCTCCATCTTACAACGAGGCGGTGACCTCTGGAGCATCCAGTCCAGTGGTGGCATCTGGGGATGCCATGATGATGAGTTTGGGCGACAGTATCATGAATGACGAGAGACAGAATGGGGAGGTCACACAACATGCAGATGCAGACAGAACATTTGAGATTGCAGATGGTGTGCAGATATTTTTCATAACACCACAAGGTTATGTGAGTGCTCCATCATATCCCAGTTCCCTGTCAGTGTTTAAGTTCCGGGATGAGCAGTGCGCCGGTACCCAGAGGCCACCAACGTTTATGCAGGTGAATGATTGGGTATACCCACTGATTCCAGGGATGTCGCCATCTCTCAGGACCACATATGGGGCTTACATGTTCCCCGACACATCCTCTGATGTCCCAGGTATGTCAGTCTTATTCCTTATACATTTGTTTGGTAGTCGAAACCAGCGTTCAAATGTTAGCATGAAATATAGTGGAATCTGGTCATTTTAATAGCTGAGGACCTCTGTGATGTCAGATGAGATCCTGTACTTGTGCAGGCTGATGACTATTGATACACTACTGAGAGTATTGAAATCAGAATCTGGTAACCATAGTGATTGTAGGACATTAGATCTGTACATATAGGATTCATTTCTTGCCTTTACAGGGATTGATCTGTACCTCATTAAAGGCCAATATTTTAATGAAATTGGCAGCAAGCGTCAGTAAATATTTCTTAGTTCTTAGTTATGCTGTAACTGTTGTTATGGTTTTGAAGAGGTGACCTGTATTAAACTGTTAAATGGAACAAAAAGAGGAAGAGGCTATGCTAATAGCTAATAATTTTCAGTTCAATGTTAACATTCAATTTGCCTACCAAGGATGTAGGTAATTTATAATTCTTCAACATTTTTATGTTTAAGATTTGTTCCAGCAGCCTACTATCAGTGAATTTTTGTTGTTCCTGATACACTCAAATATTTAATCTTCAAACATTTACTCTTCAGGAGCTGCTGTGGGGTTGATGTTGCCTGACACAATGGATGTCGAGGATAGACTGAAGTTTGAACAGCTTCTCCGATCATTGACAGTGATGGAGGACCAAGTTGTCATTTCCCCTGAGGGAATCCCATGTGAGCCAGCACCAGCCTACCCTCAGGTTCCTAATGCTGAAGCAGCTCCCGCCTACCCCCATGTACCCCAAGTGTCCCATGCAGAACCAGCACCTGTATCCTACCCACAGATCCCAAGTGCACCGATGGAACAGGTACCAAGTGCGCCAGTCGAGCAGAGGCCAGCTGAAGTTGAAGGACAGAGGGAGGATGTACATTCAGACACTACCTCAGGGAAAATCTCAAAGGGAATTCTTGTAGGTGAGGACTTTTGCATTTTGTCACATAACTGTTATTATTACAGGAGCATAGCACCCGCTTATCTGTTTTTGCTGCAGATCCATGGTATACACAACGTGTGGGGATTCTAGGAGAACTCTATGCTAACCCACAAATACTTGCTTTTGTATGAAAATTGTGTGAGTGGCAGGACCAACATACCCTTTTCATTAACTTCTTATTCCATCACTGATTTTTTGCACAGTTGCTCACCAGAATCAATTTCCGTCAGATAATGGAGACTTGATAATTTATGTATTACCTTACCGGACGCTACACTTTCAGCAACATGTAGCATTAGATAAGTATGAAAAGATTGCATGCTCATGTGTTACCTTACCTGATGCTACACATAGCTAAAGGTTTAATATCCGGTAAATATAAACTCATTGTATTTATCCTGAAATGCTCATTTTGGTATTGTCAGGGATAAGAAAATCTGGTGGTGATAGTGTGTGAAATGCATTTGTGTGTCATCAGTACCCTGGAGCATGAATCATTGTTAATGCTATTAACCATTGCTTGTAATAAATCTGCTGGAGCAGGCAGGCAATATATGTTATTATAGCTTACCACAACATAATATGAAGCTGTTGAAGAGATAAGAAAGCTAATTTTTTCTTGTCTGCCACAGCGGCTGACTGGATCTCCTGGGGTGTGGGCAAGGGGGCACAGAAGGCGGGGCAGCTGATCAAGTACGGGTCCGGCAAGCTACAGCAGCAACTCAGGCCAGAAGACAGACCGCGCACCATCGACCCTAAAGTACAGAAAGGAGCCAAATATGCTCGACAGGCCACACATGTGGCAGTCAAAGTCAGCTGCTTTGTAGGTAGGTGACCTCATTGTGGGTTTCTACAGACATCTTTTTCAGTGGCATTTTAGAAGTTGGAAATTACAATATAGACAAACTTTATGGATAACAACTTCTTTATTTTGTGAGTGTGACGTTTCAATACAACATTACAATATCTATATCGAAACGTTGCACGCTCGAAGTAAAGAAATTGTTATCCATAACGTTTGTCTATATAATAGTAGACATTTGTGTGTTGTCAAGATGTGCCCAATAGGCTACGAGATATAAAGGTTTTCAAAATATTAATATTATGTGCAGGTTACACATTCCCTATATGTTCTGAGTTTGTTTCACTAAATCAGCAAATCAACCTCAAGTTACACCCTTTAAGATGTAAGTCTGTTTTCTATTGGCTTTTGTCTGTGGACGACATTCTGCTTTTGTAGAGTGAATTCTAAAATGCTTTTGCAGTTTGTGTTAAGTAGTATTCAGGATTTAGGCATGGTCAGTGAAACTCTGAGTGAAGGGTTCAATGGTATTCAGGGGTGGTCGGTGAAACTCTGAGTGAAGGGTTCAGTGGTATTCAGGGGTGGTCAGTGAAACTCTGAGTGAAGGGTTCAATGGTATTCAGGGGTGGTCGGTGAAACTCTGAGTGAAGGGTTCAATGGTATTCAGGGGTGGTCGGTGAAACTCTGAGTGAAGGGTTCAATGGTATTCAGGGGTGGTCAGTGAAACTCTGAGTGAAGGGTTCAATGGTATTCAGGGGTGGTCGGTGAAACTCTGAGTGAAGGGTTCAATGGTATTCAGGGGTGGTCAGTGAAACTCTGAGTGAAGGGTTCAATGGTATTCAGGGGTCGTCAGTGAAACTCTGAGTGAAGGGTTCAGTGGTATTCAGGTGTCGTCAGTGAAACTCTGAGTGAAGGGTTCAGGGGTGGTCAGTGAAACTCTGAGTGAAGGGTTCAATGGTATTCAGGGGTGGTCAGTGAAACTCTGAGTGAAGGGTTCAATGATATTCAGGGGTGGTCAGTGAAACTGTGAGTGAAAGGTTCAATGGTATTCAGGTATTCAGGTGAGGGAAGTTTTCACCATCATAGATCAGAACCTTATCACTGACCAACCTAATGTTTTGTTTTCAGTGGGAAAGTTAAGTGATGCAACTGTGGCACTGGGGAAACAGGTGGCGCCACACATTCGGAAACAAGGGGAGAAGATACTGCCGCAGGTGTTTAAACCTTCCAAAGATGGACAGTCCAAAATGGATGGAGTGTTGGAAGTGGCTGCTAGTGGACTTAAGGGTAACTACAGTGACAGTGTGGAGATGCCAACTGTGCCAAGTTTCTTAAGTTTGGGAATGTGAATTATGGTATATTATGTCATATTTGGGATAACACTTTCTTAGTAAAGTACAGATTCTAGTACTTTTGTTAGGTTGAGTCCCATTCAGGATTTGAACCCACACCCTCAGAGTCAGGCACCTAATCACCAGCACACAAAGTCAGACGCCTAGACCGATTCGCTCAGCCACCGGCTTCCACAAAAATGGAAGTCGGACAACTGGTAGTCTAGACTGCGGACTTTATGTACCCCTGTTTGAGAGAGTTCACTCAAACACATCTTGTTCAGTTAGTGTTTATGGAATTTAAAAACATTCATGGAAACGCATAGACACTGACTGCACAAGATTAGCCTGCGAGTGAACTACACATGCTCCTAGATTTCATATGTTAGAATTTTAATTGAATTCGGTTTTCAACTTCGCTGATACCAGACGTAAATTTAGAGTTAGGTTAGAAAGTCAGTAAGCTGTTAGATATTCATAAATTAGATTAGACAATCAGTGGGGTTTAGTTAGTAAAGAAAGTTAGAGGTTGGATATTCAGGGTTAGATTAGTTTAGTATTAGTCGGGTTTTGAACATTAATAGAGTTAGAATTTAGATATTAGGGGTTGGTGAAATTAGTTAAATTCATCAAGCGCAAAAGTTTACACATTCAGTTAGTTCTTCACACATTCGCTTTTTACCCATAACTGTTATCATATTTAGTTCTTCAGTTCCTCATTAGAAATAAGTGTTATAATATTTAGTTCTTCAGTTCCTCATTAGAAATAAGTGTTATCACGTTTATTTGCTCAGTTTTACATTGTACACAATAAGTGTTATCACATTTATTTGCTCAGTTTTACATTGTAGACAATAAGTGTTATCACATTTATTTGCTCAGTTTTACATTGTAGACAATAAGTGTTATCACATTTATTTGCTCAGTTTTACATTGTTGACAATAAGTGTTATCAAGTTTATTTGCTCAGTTTTACATTGTAGACAATAAGTGTTATCACATTTATTTGCTCAGTTTTACATTGTACACAATAACATACATACATACAAATACTTATATAGCGCCAATATCCGTAATCCGCTCAAAGGCGCTCTGGCTCTAAGATGGTCAAGATATCACATATAGTTCAAATGCTTCACCAAAGAGACATGTCTTCAGATTTGATTTAAAAACAGCTAAATCTGGTTGTGTTCTGAGGTGAGATGGAAGATTGTTCCAGAGATGAGGCCCAGCCATCTCAAGTGACCTGTCACCATATGTTTTTGTCCTAGTCACAGGAATTGTCAAAAGACACTGGTCATTTGATCGGAGAGAACGTACAGCAGTATAACGGTGGAACAGATCACAGAGGTACTGAGGAGCTAGACCATGTAAACTTTTAAAAACAAGGAGTAGAGTTTTATATTTTATCGCGGTAGTGGACGGAAGCCAATGAAGTGAGTGAAGAACAGGAGTAATGTGGTCCGATTTCTTTGACAGAGAGACCACTCTGGCTGCAGTATTCTGCACCTTCTGAAGCTTGTGTATAAGATTGTTTGGGAGGCCAGCAAGAAGCGCATTACAGTAGTCAAGGCGAGATGTTACATATGCCTGAACAAGAGATGCTGTAGTCTTGGCGTCCAGGTATCGTCGAATCATGCCGATGTTACGAATGTGGTAGTATGCGCCCTTCGACAGATGTTATTGATGTGTGGCTCCATGGACAGTGAAGAATCAAAAATAACTCCCAAGTTTAAGCACCTCATGGTTTGGCTGAATCTCACACTGACCCGATGCTGAATTTAGGAAGAGAGATACTGGGTTGGAGGCAGCTTAGGGTGGAAAACTATGAGTTCAGTTTTATCATCATTCAGTTTGAGGTAGTGTGGCGACATCCAGATTTTGATGCAGCTAACACACTCTTCAATGGTGAGAAATGAAGACACAGCTGATGAGGAAAGTAAGGGTTTGAATGATATGTAAATTTGAGTGTCGTCAGCATATAAATGCAGTCCAAGGTTGAAGGATCTGACGATATCACCTAGAGGAGAAGTATAAATAGTGAAAAGTAGAGGTCCAAGAACCGATCCCTGAGGCCGCGCCATAAGCAAGATCCTTAGGACTGGAGATGTGACCATCAATGATCACCGACTGATGTCTACCTGCTATGTAGGACTCAAACCACTGAAGAGCAGTTCCTCTAATACCCATCCTGGTCTCAAGTGTATGCATCAGAATAGTATGGTCGATAGTATCGAAGGCACTACTCAAATCAAGTAGAACCAATACTGCAGCACCATCTTTGTCTCACGGCTCTCAGTATGTCATTGTGCACTTTAGCGAGTCGCGGTTTCCGTGGAGTGGAAATTCGGTATGCTGATTGCATGACTTGAAACACCCATTTAAGGTCATGTGTTCCTTGAGTCTTGTTGTGACCACGCGCTCAATCAATTTTGAGGTGAATGGTAAATTTGTGACTGGCCGATAATTTTTAAAAGCTCTTGATCTAAACCTTTCTTTTTCAGGAGTGGAGTGACAACTCCATTTTTCAATGTATCCGACATCATACCTTCCTGGAGAGATTTATTGACAACAGAGAGGTCAATATAGGGGCAAAGGTATCTAGAGAGTTCTTGAGAAGCCATGTAGGTATAGGGTCAAGAATACATGACCGTCGGTGACTTAGAAACAAGTTTCACAATCTCTGCTTCTGTTGCTGGTTGGAAATGGGATAGGCATGGAAAAGCAGCTATTGATTGGGGCTCAATGTGTGGAAGGTCATCATGTGAAAGTGAGTCTCTGATTGTGGAAATCTTCTGAGAAAAGAAGTCTGAGAACTTGTCAACTAATTGATCAAGGGATGAATGAGATGGCAGAGTCAGGGAATTATCCTTAAACAGAAGCCTGTTAGCTATCCTGAACACTTCCTTCTGTCCATCCACATCCTGCAGTGCAGCTTTGTAATAGCTTGACTTGGCTGTCTCCATAAGAGAGTCAACATGATGTCTCTGGTTGTCATGCATCTGCTTATGAATGGCTAACTTGGTGTGTCTAAACTGTTTCTCGAGTTTACGCCTCAAAGCGTTTAGCTGATCGAATGTCGTCATTATACCAGGGTGATTCTGGATGAAGAGTTACAGTACAGGACTTCAATGGAGCATGATGGTCAGCAAGTTTCCTGAGCTGAGTGTCATACAGAGTAACATATTCACTGGCGGTGAGATCTGAAGAGCTAGAAATAGCTGTTGTCATATCTAGCTGAAACTCTTGAAGATCAATGTCCTTCCACTTGCTTGAAATGAGATTTTCTTTCTGGTTAGATCTTTCAACTGAGATGTTGACATTGAACAAGACACTGTAGTGATCAGATCTTACAGAATGATCAAATCTTACGTTACTGACCTTCAGTTCATTCTCACGCACAATCACCAGGTCTAGAATATGTCCCTGAACGTGAGTTGGCTCATGTATGACTTGAGTTAGGCCATGAGCTTCCAGAATATTGAGCAGCTTCTGTGCATCTCTGTCATTTGTCTTGTCAATGTGGTAATTAAAGTCCCCACATATTAAGAGCTTACCGGGTGTTGTCGTCAGAGAATCAAGAAGTGCACTAAAGTCATCAAAGAAAGTACCAGGTTTTGGCGGTCTGTACAACACAATGATGTTGAAACATTGGTTGTCACATGTAAATTGTAATGGTATAAGTTCAAATGAAGTACATGTATGGAGATTGGCAGCTTTCAGTTTGCGACCAACAAGTTTATCATTGTAGACGATACCAACGCCGCCTCCACGCACAGCTCCCACGGCCGAAAGCTATGAAATACACACTGCCATTTAGAAAGTAGTCAAATTTAACATATGTCATATTTGGGATTACACTTTCATAGTAAAGTACAGATTCTAGTACTTTTGTTGGGTTGAGTCCCATTCGGGACAGTGGCAGTGTGTATTTCATAGCTTTTGTCTGACTTTGTGTGCTGGTGCCTGACTGAGGGTATGGGTTCGAATCCCGAATGGGACTCAACCCAACAAAAGTACTAGAATATGTACTTTAATAAGAAAGTGTAATCCCAAATATGACATATGTTACATTTGACCACTTTCTAAATGGCAGTGTGTATTTCATATATTTACAGAAACAATCTGATATGTTCTATACCGACAGTAACATTACTACAGCTATTACACTTCCTCAGGCTATTCTATATTGTATACATGTATTATGTTAGATGACATAGGGCCAACTGCCCTTAGAGAAGTGGGGAGTTGTGGTCTGTTGACCAAATGCACAGCCCTATATAGGTTGTCAGCCATGTTTGTTCTCAGTGCTCTTGTCAAACAGTTAATTACAGTTAATTACCGTGCTCTGTACCTATATAATGAGCCGGTGGCCCCTGTACATGAATAAAACATCTTCCGGTATCTACTATAGGATGTCAGCCATGTTTGATCTCAGTGCTCTTGTCAAACAGTTAATTACCATGCTCTGTACCTATATAATGAGCCGGTGGCCCCTGTACATGAATAAAACATCTTCCGGTATCTACTATAGGATGTCAGCCATGTTTGATCTCAGTGCTCTTGTCAAACAGTTAATTACCATGCTCTGTACCTATATAATGAGCCGGTGGCCCCTGTACATGAATAAAACATCTTCCGGTATCTACTATAGGATGTCAGCGTATATTGCAGTGGCGATAAAAGAACCCAAAGTCAATAAAAGCAAAACTAATACTGTTGAAATTGTTTCCTTACAGATTTGTGAATATTGATCCTAAACGAAAATGTGTACATATTTATTAAGATGTAATGGTTCAGATGGACAATAAGGTGGGAGAAAATGAAATATTAGAATATTTTGGGAACAACCAAGTTGATATTTAGCATCAACTGCCAGTCTATATATGTACTTGTTAGTTCTACATATACAGAATAATCTAACGTATATGATGGATTGATACACTGACATATCGCGATATATTTCGGACGATAAATCAAAACACCCTGAGTTCCCTTTGTTGCTATGCATCTCATTGAAATCAAATCTTTTACACCAATTCAGTGAGAAAGGTGTCTAGTTGGAGTAAAAATTCACAGTTTAATATGATTGGTGTATAATTTACATATGAAGAAAGTGTTATTTGAATGAGTTGTGAAACAGGTTGCAGCTGGGTAGCATTCATATTTAAGTGACTTACATAGTAGAATAAAATATGTCTGCTAATGTTGGGCTTGTTAGTTAGTGGGTTAGTATCTTCATTTGACTGTTTTGTTTTCCGTGAATTATTTGTGTGTTGTGTTTCAGGGTTTGGGACAGTCTACATGGGGCTGGAGACATCGGCTAAGGAGCTGGCGAAGAATCTGGCAAATGAAACAGTTGGCATCGTCCATCACAAGTAGGTTCATACCATACTTTATTAAGAAACATAATATTTTGGTTTCATCCGTAGGCAGAAGGAAAGAGTGGCAAAAATCTTCAATATTTCACAGGTTTGGAAACACTACAACAGTTATCCGAGTCTCTTGCCAGCGTAATCATTTTTCACCAGCTAGTCAAACCACAGCTTGGTGCCAGTGAGAGAAACCCACCCATGCCTAGACCAATGAGCACTTATATCTCACATTCAGCATGGCGCAGAACGGTGGCCTAGTGGTTAAAGTGTTCTCTTGCCAAAGAGCCTGGTTTGATTACCCACATATGTTAGAGGCCCATTTGTGGTGTCCCCTGCCCTAACATTGCTGGAGGATTGCTCAAATCGGCGTAAAACCGTACTCCCTGACTCATATACAGCAACATTGTGTCAATATCAGACCAAGGGTTAACACTGAACAGTGAGATCATTAGACTTCCGCGAATTTATATAACAGTCTCAGTTTCATTAGTAGACGAATTTAAAGATTATATTACGGTGAAAAGTCACTGTTTGTATTTCCAGGTAATAGTAGTTTATCGTACATGTGAAGCTTTGGCACACTGCTGTAGCCAGCAGTCAATTTAGCATGTTTAATCAGGGTGAAAATATCCTCATCTGCCTCCATGTCAAACTGATGCATGGTGTTGAGCTAGGCAGATTGGAAATATGTTTAGTGATGCTAGCTGGGCATGTTCTTCTTCACAGGTACGGTGATGAAGCAAGTAAATTCACCGAAAACACGCTGTATTCTGTTGGGAATGTTGCCATGACGGCCTACAATGCTGACAACCTCGGCATCAAGGCCATCACGAAGCGTGCAGCAAAGGATGCTGGGAAGGCTGTGTTACACGATCTGCAGGATGAACGAGCCAAGAAGCAAACAAATGGATGTTGTCAGAACGGAGAGAAACACCCCAGTCCCTCGCATGAAAAACCTCCACAGTAAAACATATTGTATGATAGGTTCACTTGAACTGTAATTTATATGTAAAGTGTTTTACAAAAATATGATAAACCGGTATTGTGTGTACTAGTCAGCCTTGCTGGTTACTATTTTAACATTTCTAATATTTAGGATATATTACACGTCTGTCAAATACCATAACAATACAGATATTAGCTGTATGAAATACATGATATCATCTTGAATCTGTATTTTGAAATGTCAGTCATTCAGTGATCAATTCTAAGGGAAACTAGACTAACATCACAGGAAGGACCCAGCTGTGGTTACAGCTTGTTCAGCTTGACCTGATCAAGTGAATACTAATGCACTGCGTGACCGTGTCACAACTGGTTCGGTCTATTATTGTCAAGGGGTGCACCTTTGTGAGTTGATTGTCAACATGTCCGAACAACCGAGACAAGGTCGCCGTTTGAATAGAAAAATCGTCAGCAATGTCCTAACTTTCTTTAAAAAAGAAGCTACAGATGGTTTAATGTTTCCGATTCGGGCTGTAACGAATCCATGTATGCATGCTTCATACGAACGCAACATTGATAACATGCTTTGCTCCCCTATTTAATGAAGTTAACTCGACCAGCCGTTTGTGCCATTTGACCTCCTGGGTCATGCATATGTAGAGTAGCTCAGGTCAAGCTGAACAAGCTGTAGGTCAGTAAACATTGTAACCTTGACCTTTCTCCCAGTTGCTATGTAGAGCGGCTAAATTTGTTTTTGTTTTTGTTGCTTCCCATGGTATTAATAGAATGTTACACTCACTTCAGTTTAATATAACTTCGTCCCTTCTGAAAAAGGTCTCAAACTTGACACTGAATCAAAGCTCATGTAATATTCTGCAACACAAATATACTGGGATAGATAAGTGGTGTGAAGTGTAAAGGCACTAGGCTCCTAGTCTGCAGGATGTAGGACATCCTGTAACATAGTGATACAGGATCCGGATATGAGGGGTAATAAAATGTTGGAGTCTCTGTCAAATAAGAGAGGTATTCGTACATGAACATATGTGGGCATAGAAAAATGTTCGTTCAAGTCTTAAGTCAAATGGATCAAATGTTTGATTAAAATATAATGTAGTACATAAAAAACATGAATGGATGAACCATTAGTATGTAAATATTTAGTTTCATTGAGTTTTCTTTATGTCACCTTTGCTGAAGATTACCCATGTTAGGTACCCGTGAAGGTCCGGGTTAGAATGAACCTTCAGTAACCCATGCTTGTCGTAAGAGGCAACTAACAGGATCGGGTGGTCAGGCTTGCTGACTTGGTTGACACATGTCATCGGTTCCCAATTGTACAGATCGATGCTCATGCTGTTTATCTCTGGATTGTCTGGTCTAGACTCGATTATTGACAGACCACTGCCATATAGCTGGAATATTGCTGAGTGCGGCGTAAAACTAACTCACTCACTGAAAAGGAAGCTCTGTGTTTGCCAGGAGGTGTTTAACTGATTATTCAGTTATTAATGCCATGTCAAGGATTGAGTATCCATGGTTAAAATCCCAATAATGTTCACCAACAAATCATTATATACACAGTGACACTGACACTGACACTTGACATGAACACTTGATATTGGAATTGGGAGTAGAAAGTGTAATGTGTTGTTTGAGAGCACTGTTTACTTTAGACATAGCTATACCTGGGACAATCATTTTGTTGTGCTTGAAGACGGACAGTGCTTTATTGTGATAAAAAGTAACATTTGCCAGGACATGGAGGTGAAGCCGAGCACCTTGTTCTCTGAACAGCTCAATATAATCGTAGTACTGTCAATGGTCTTCTTTGCATTGCCTACTATATTATCTGATGGACAAGTTGTGTTTGAATGTATATAGTACTTATAAGAGTTGTTGACATCGAGCTATGTGATTTTTAGGATTTGTATAAGTTGTAGAAATGTTCAAGCAGTGGTAGATTTTTTCAGGAGAAAGAGTATTATTTCTTCAAAGAAGCAACTGGCAGTGCTTGATTGTACATGTAAAACAAATGACTGAGGGCATGAGCCACAGAACCTCACAATCCAATGGTCTTCAGTTCATTCTGTGTGAGAACCATGGCATGCTGTTGCCATTTTGTCTGTGGGATCCATCAGGGATACAAAATGCAGGAGTGACTTGGAGAAGTAATTGGTGACTGAATGAATGGATTAAAACCTGTGCATCTTACATCAATGGGGTAATATCTTATAGAGGTATAAATTTGTAGAAATCAAAATCTGTGTATTTTGTTTAGATGGAAAGCTGATGATGCTGATGTGTTTTCTTACTGTGCATGACATCAAGATCAAAGTTTGAGGGTGTGTTGAAAATTGGGTATACCTGTACATAGATCTGTAATATATTTAAAACTGTATACATGTACCTTTTGGTTAACAAATGACACAAAAGTACCCTGTATTCGTCTCTATCAAAACATTATGTACATCAGCTTGATCTGTTTATGTGCATTACAGGTTACATTGTTTTGTTAAAATAAAATAAAATAAATGTTCATACAGCTTTGTGTTAACTTTTTGTTTTGTTATGAGCCGGGTTCCAAATTCAAAACTACTCTGTGCTGCTGAAGACATTCCGGTTGAGGACCAGTGAGCAATGTGCGTTAAACACTGGTTTGAAGACACCTTGTGCAGTGTTATGTGAGAGGAACATCTGAAGTGAAGCAGGCCTGTCTGACACACCAATCTTCGGCCTTTGAACCAGGGATTGAAACAATCACAAATTTCTGGCTTCACTAAGGGATATATCTCTACACAGCAAACTGCTGAATCTCAGAGGATTTGGCCATCCTCCCAGATTGGGGCATACAAAAGCTACTGTAACAGAACCTGCTTTACTTGTGGTAGTGATCAAGCAGGAAATAGTTTATCAGAAAGTATCTCTCAAACTTATTTTGAGTGAGCTTGTCTTTTGGCTGTGATGGAGTTACTTTATCATAACAGTGGCATTCAATTTGTTGCAGGGCAGCCTGTAGAAAACAAGTTCAGGCTGTCGAGACATGACTTTACATCTTCACATAAGCTGGTGTATTGGCAGATAAATTGGATTGCAATACGTATTTGACAGTAGGCGACACTAATTATACATGCCGATCCTATTTTGTACATTAAAAGTCCCTAAAATATATGTTAAGGTTCTGATAACAGCAGTCTCAAAAGAAGGTTGCTCAGTCAGGGAGTCTATTTTCTATTTTATACAGTAGTATCACAGTACATGTATGCTGTTCTGAATAATGAATGAATGAAAGTCTGCATAGATTTGAATTTAAACCATAAAGATAATTGCACAAATATTCATATACATGTATATTCTTTACATAATTTCCCACTTCTCAGAAAAATTATTCCATTATGTATCATTTGAAAAGCATTGTGGTATACCGGTTATACCATGCAGTCCTAGGTCAAGACACCTGTGCTGACCAAAATCTCCACATTGCTGTGAAAGGTATTACATTCCCATATGATCATACGCGTACTCCTCAGTTCATTTGTGAACATCTTTGCATTCAACACCGTTTTGAGAACATGTTTAAGTGTTATGACATTCACTAGACTGGACAGAATTTTACTAGTCTGGCTTCAGAAAAGCAATAGCAGGGTTTTACATGACGCATGATTCCAGCGTATTTGACGCAACAATTTTGTAAAAGACTCTCAAAATATTATCATATGAGTCAAGCTTGACGCAAGTTTTATTGGTGGCCCTCACAATTCAGTTCAATAAAATCGATTTGATAAGCAAAAATTGATATTGTTTGATGATAGTTTGACTTTTGCAGAGCTGTCAGATTGTTCCAGAGAACTCAAGAGTCAGAGGAGACAGTAATCCTGGCTGTTTGAATTGAACAATGCTGTAGTTTCATTTGGTGGTGTGACATACACAGTTACATACTGAGAATGATAAACACAAAGAAACATTAAAATTTTCATGACTCCTAATTATTGAAAATGACTCCCAGTAATAAATATTGTGAGTCACCATGACTCACATTTTTAAAAGTCTGTAAAACCCTGCAATAGGTGAGGTGAAATGGGGTTTAACACTGTACTTGAGAACATTTCGCTCATACTATGACGTGCATGCGTGTGTATGTGTGGCTGCTTGTACCATATTTTAATGTCATTTGCAACCTTCTGCTCTCCCGGGTGGAAAGGTATTAAGGTGGCAAAACGATTGATTATTACAAAGTACAAATAAATTGTAACAGATGAGACAGCTTTCTATGCTCTATGCCAAAAGAAAAATGGAGAGACAGATTGGCCTTGAGACTTCAAGAATGCCAGTAACAGCAACTGATACTGGGTGATCACAAAAACAGACTAAAGTTGTTATCTTCAGCAACATTTATTTTATACATGTGCCCTGAAACAAAAGTTAGAGTACCCATAGCAGTCACCTTTCCCAAAATATAATTAGTTTTGTATTCATGCCAGGACATCAAAACAATATATGAATCAAAAGTACAACTGGCATATGTACCCAAATTTTATATTGAACAGCAACAGAGGCAAACAATAACAGTTGGCCACTTGTGACCATTTACTGAATGAAAATTATTGTCTTGATTTTTTGTTGAAGAGCATATTCGTGTGAATTATGAAAGAAAATGTAAAATAAATTGGGACAGTTGGCAGCTAGAAGTATCTGATATTGTTGAACATGATTATTGATAAAGCACAAATTTCTTCCATTAAAAGACATGGCCTTGATCAAAATAACAATTACATAAAAGTTCAATTTCCACCACGCAGACGCAGCACAAGATGCAGGGTGGATTCTTTCTGGATGTTGTAGTCAGAGAGGGTGCGACCATCCTCAAGCTGCTTTCCTGCGAAGATCAATCTCTGCTGATCTGGAGGAATACCCTCCTTGTCCTGGATCTTGGCCTTCACATTTTCAATAGTGTCTGATGGCTCAACCTCAAGAGTGATGGTCTTGCCAGTGAGGGTCTTGACGAAGATCTGCATACCACCACGCAGACGCAGCACAAGATGCAGGGTGGATTCTTTCTGGATGTTGTAGTCAGAGAGGGTGCGACCATCCTCCAGCTGCTTTCCTGCGAAGATCAATCTCTGCTGATCTGGAGGAATACCCTCCTTGTCCTGGATCTTGGCCTTCACATTTTCAATAGTGTCTGATGGCTCAACCTCAAGAGTGATGGTCTTGCCAGTGAGGGTCTTGACGAAGATCTGCATACCACCACGCAGACGCAGCACAAGATGCAGGGTGGATTCTTTCTGGATGTTGTAGTCAGAGAGGGTGCGACCATCCTCAAGCTGCTTTCCTGCGAAGATCAATCTCTGCTGATCTGGAGGAATACCCTCCTTGTCCTGGATCTTGGCCTTCACATTTTCAATAGTGTCTGATGGCTCAACCTCAAGAGTGATGGTCTTGCCAGTGAGGGTCTTGGACGAAGATCTGCATACCACCACGCAGACGCAGCACAAGATGCAGGGTGGATTCTTTCTGGATGTTGTAGTCAGAGAGGGTGCGACCATCCTCAAGCTGCTTTCCTGCGAAGATCAATCTCTGCTGATCTGGAGGAATACCCTCCTTGTCCTGGATCTTGGCCTTCACATTTTCAATAGTGTCTGATGGCTCAACCTCAAGAGTGATGGTCTTGCCAGTGAGGGTCTTGGCGAAGATCTGCATACCACCACGCATGAGCGCAGCACAAGATGCAGGGTGGATTCTTTCTGGATGTTGTAGTCAGAGAGGGTGCGACCATCCTCAAGCTGCTTTCCTGCGAAGATCAATCTCTGCTGATCTGGAGGAATACCCTCCTTGTCCTGGATCTTGGCCTTCACATTTTCAATAGTGTCTGATGGCTCAACCTCAAGAGTGATGGTCTTGCCAGTGAGGGTCTTGACGAAGATCTGCATACCACCACGCATGAGACGCAGCACAAGATGCAGGGTGGATTCTTTCTGGATGTTGTAGTCAGAGAGGGTGCGACCATCCTCAAGCTGCTTTCCTCGCGAAGATCAATCTCTGCTGATCTGGAGGAATACCCTCCTTGTCCTGGATCTTGGCCTTCACATTTTCAATAGTGTCTGATGGCTCAACCTCAAGAGTGATGGTCTTGCCAGTGAGGGTCTTGACGAAGATCTGCATACCACCACGCAGACGCAGCACAAGATGCAGGGTGGATTCTTTCTGGATGTTGTAGTCAGAGAGGGTGCGACCATCCTCAAGCTGCTTTCCTGCGAAGATCAATCTCTGCTGATCTGGAGGAATACCCTCCTTGTCCTGGATCTTGGCCTTCACATTTTCAATAGTGTCTGATGGCTCAACCTCAAGAGTGATGGTCTTGCCAGTGAGGGTCTTGACGAAGATCTGCATACCACCACGCAGAGCGCAGCACAAGATGCAGGGTGGATTCTTTCTGGATGTTGTAGTCAGAGAGGGTGCGACCATCCTCCAGCTGCTTTCCCTGCGAAGATCAATCTCTGCTGATCTGGAGGAATACCCTCCTTGTCCTGGATCTTGGCCTTCACATTTTCAATAGTGTCTGATGGCTCAACCTCAAGAGTGATGGTCTTGCCAGTGAGGGTCTTGACGAAGATCTGCATACCACCACGCAGACGCAGCACAAGATGCAGGGTGGATTCTTTCTGGATGTTGTAGTCAGAGAGGGTGCGACCATCCTCAAGCTGCTTTCCTGCGAAGATCAATCTCTGCTGATCTGGAGGAATACCCTCCTTGTCCTGGATCTTGGCCTTCACATTTTCAATAGTGTCTGATGGCTCAACCTCAAGAGTGATGGTCTTGCCAGTGAGGGTCTTGACGAAGATCTGCATTTTCTGTAACAGATGAAAAATGGCCATTTAACAAATTACTCACTACATTGCAAATCTATGAATGATTAAAGTAGATGTTTGAAGCTATAATTTGAAAAGAGGATCATATAATTTTAGCCCAACCAACAATTACTCATCTCAAATAGTGTGTAACAAAAACAAATAGTGTGTATACTGAGCTAAATTTCAGATTATACATATTTCTTGTCTGTAGTTCATTGATACCTGAAATTAGACCATAATAATGAATTGGATTTCCGGATTTTCATTATAATCATTTGCAAGGAAGTTCGTTATTTTATTTGGGCCGAATTCAGTTTGCTGAATAAGTAATAAAGAGTTTTAGGTTAAGTAGGCAATACGTAATCAACCATTTCGAAAAGGCTAAGCAATGTCTTGAAGAAAGAAGCTGTTTCTGCCCTTTCTTTGTTGCGAACTTTCCATAATGAAATGTACATGACAAAATGGCGGACGTTTCTCGGAAATACTCGTACTTTCCATTTACATCTCAACGCGGACGGCATTCGATTACTACGTTCCGGGATTTCTTCTACATACACACATTCAAATCTGCCGTTCTATTGAGAACGTCAAGATAACTCCTGAAGATCAACGTTGGTTTAAAATAAAATGTCCTCACCTTCTACTTCGTGTCTCTCCTCAGCGTAGATAGAAAATATGACGTCAGGCTTTGGGCGCTTCATATTTATATACATGGTGACGTCACGTCCTATTATTAGTAACCGATTCTGCGCAGTTCCCCTGCCAACAGCGATCGAGCGGGGATTCTATTTTTAGAGACACGACAGTTTCTAAAATTAGATTGCTTGCGCAGCCTGTAATCATCTCGGCTGTTGTCTGATTACGCATATATAGGAATGTTCGTATTCAATTTCGTATCTTACTATTAAGCTCTCGAAGGTTCTCTGGTAGATAGGGGCTGGTATCATTCATGACGTCACATTTGAAAACATGATCGATCGTAATTTCAGCCTCTATATCTATCATATTTTAACCATTAAAATGTTAAGTAGTACTTCAGGTCATATGTGGCCTCGATCCATACTGAATAAATTGTCATTGTCATCTTTTAACCATCTATCACCGGCATCCAGGGGGGTTAACACCAACCAATAATAATTAAGCAAGGTGATTAAACTGTTCTTGGATTGTGCTATTATCCAGTTTTCCTCCTTTTTCTCCATTGCTCCAAGAGTATATTTATGTTCATCACGTACTACTACGTGACATTCAAAGAAAGGGCTGTGATTAATTCACTTCCTCATAGAAATATCGTGTATTGAATGTGATATCTGATATTTGAAATCAACGAAATGAATACAGCCTGCCATCAGGTTTGAGAAATTTAACCGAAAAGGGGACGCCATTGGCCTTCAGTAACCCGTGCTTGTGGTTTGAGGCGACTAGCGGGATCGGGTTTTTTAGAACTTGGTTCAGCACGGATCGATGCTCGTGGTATCAATCACTGGATTGTCTGGTTCACATCGCATGTCGCTGACTGCAGCGTTAGCAGCAAGCAAACGTTACCATGTGATTTTGTCCTACAAGTGACTTTACGTGCTTCAATTTAGACACCTTGGTACATATGTAATGTATCCACGTATCTTAAAAAATTACGACCTCGTGGAATTACAAGCTATTTTATTTCTCTTTGAACGGTTGGGGTGGGTGTGTGTGTGTGGGGGGTGGTTATTTGTACATAATGATTTATGCATGGCCGATTTATGTGATATATAAGGTGTAATGTTCACGGTAGATTGTCTATTGTCAGGCGCTCTTGTTCTTTCAGAAACCGGTTTCTTCAAAGGGTGGACAACCTTTCACCGAAATCATTCACCACACGCACCAATACTTTTTTCATGTGACTTGGCTCCCTCTCGTCTAGTCGCATTATGAGCAAGTTGGCGACGCGCAAAGCGGATCGAGAACCAGCTTAAGAAGAGGAAGTCCAGTTAACAAATAGAAATACTCGTTACAGAATCATCGAAGGGATCACGTTCTCGTCCAATGAAAAGTCTCCACGTTAAAGCGTTGTCCGCGTGGTTGATGTGAGTGTGTATACTCGATCATTCGGTGTAGCAATTCACAAATTCGCGAAGTATTCAGGTAAACATTTATATGCACTCTTTGTATTAGACAAACGACAACATCACCCATTGTGAATTATGATTTATGCTTTAAACATCAACAGGAAGTAGTATCTTTTGCAGATCGGCTCATTTTACCAATCGCGTTTGCATGGGAATTTCATTGATTTGCATGCATGAAGCCATTTTATCTTCCCATCATTTGATTACCAAATCATATCGGAATTGTTTTATCAATTATATCGCAATTACATGTGTTGTTGTTCAACTTGAAACCAATGCTCATCAACGCCGTTGTGGAATACTTTATCTCACATTTGCAACAGGCATTTCGGCATGTTCATATAGCGAAACATGGTCGTCGGTGTCGTCAATCAAGACAACCACATTTCGATCTGGTTGTAGGACCTCCCAACTACAAATATATACGACCATTTGCTTGTATTCACGTATTGTAATGATCCTTTGTACATGATGCATAATCTGATGTTTCATGCAAATGAACTTATGAATATATGAATGTGATATTACTTACAAAATATTTTTTCTATTGTTTGATGGAGTATCCAGCAGTAGGCAAGCAGAATCAGGGAATGCATACTAATATATGATTGTCTGAGCGAGCAATATCAGTGCAGTGGGAAAGGATGCAATCCAAAAAACGCATGTCAGAATGTCCTCGAAAGTCAAGATGGCCACCAACATATACTCAAATGTCCACTGCAAAAAGTTACCCTTTATTTGTAATCGTTTCCAATATATCAGATGTATATCATACCCTAAAGTGGATTTGTTGCATCTTTAGACCTTGGATTTGTTGCATCCTTAACATTTTTTCATAAAGAGATCTTTGTGTGAGATTATTAATATCACACAACTTTTGCGGACAGACTTTTAACAGCTAAATAATTGACTTCATCATATTCATGTGCATTAAACGTGTTAAGTAAAGAACATATTATCTGAGACTTTCAGCTAGCCAGTTGGGATAACTTGAACATTATATGACTGGCCCGATTCACAATCAGCTAGCATTTGGCTTTTGGACCAGTAGCTATTTCGAACACTGATTAGATTGGAGGTCTCCTCAAATGTTGCTGTTTTACATTGCTTTGTAATATATCAATTAATAGCCTCCATAAAAAAAGTCAAATACAACGAAAATCTGGACGTGGAAAGTCACGTAAAACACAATCATGTACTTCTGTGATAGGTGAATGATTATTGGTCACTGAGGGGTGCAGGCTAAAACGGAACCACAGCAAAACGGCACCTGGTGAAAACGGCACCATTTGGACATAACGGAACCTCGACTTGGCGAAAACGGCTACAAATCTTATGGCGAAAACGGCACCAACTAAAATCTTATGGGGAAAACTAGTTTGTTATAAGATAATCGGATTGCATATAATAAATACATCTACTATTATGTCGGAACTATCAAAATTTAAGAACAAGGATGTATTTTTATATTCAAGGATACGATGTGAAAACTACTTTATACGGTAACGGCGCATTGAATAACTCAACTATCAGTGATATTCTGAACTCGTTACAACAGTTCATTTCTAAAAGTAACCGCTTACAGGTTCCTTTGATGAAATAAAAATGTGCTTAAACCAAATATAGCTACTGTGCCGACAGTGATTGGAAGTGGGCATCCCATAGCTGATAATCGGATTGAAGAATGTTTAGATAGTAAATACATCTACTGTGCCGACAGTGATTGGAAAGGGCATCCCAATTTAGCGTGAAAACATCGCAACCTTTGATGTTTTAAGTACATTTACTCAACTGAAATCGCCCAGTGTCAAACTCAGTGTCAAAATGAAATTGTTTTTAAAACGCACAAATGTACCCATTGTTTACCGTCGCTGAAATACCTTAGTTGTGCGTGCGACGTTAAATAAAGCAAATAACAACAACCCATTGTTTGTTAGTTTTTGGTTTTATGGGGATTTTTTTCTTTTTTGGGTATACATAACATAATAATTTTTCTGAATATACATAACATATATTATGCAAGCTTAATGATGTTTCATTTTTCATATTTTACCATTTTTATTAGACATTTCCTGAAATTGTGTCACTGCTGTTACGAAATTTGTAACATCATTTTGAAAAGAAAAAATCCAAAGATAATATTTATTTCATGTACATATATATTAAAATATCTAGTTTTACAATATAACATGGAGTTTTGAAATTGTATATTTATTGCTTATGAAAAAGACCAAAAATTCAAATGCCACATCTGTGACATCAGCCACTGGAGTTGTGACACATGAACATTGAGTAAAATTGGGTGGTGTAAAGTAAATATAAAAATATAGTTTCCCTACATTTGTTACTGTAAAGTGTAGAAAAATATTGTAGCATAATTTTTTTGGTTTGATTTTGACTTAAGTTTGTCGGATACAAACATCTGACATAAATATGCACGGATTTTGAGAATGACTCATATGTTGATATAATCTTGCTAATGTTATAATGAAATGAAATAAAACATGAGTCAACGTCATACTTTGTTTTATATATGGTGCCGTTTTAGCCCAGAAATCAGTAGCCGTTTTAGCCAATATGGTGCCGTTTTCGCCACACAAATTTGGTGCCGTTCTGCTGTGGTGCCGTTTTAGCTATAACCCGTCACTGAGTATTGAAATCAAACTAAGAGAGGTCCATTCCAACCACTGTGAGTTTGTAAGTCACTTTCCTTGGAAATGCCTATATCTGAACCTCACTCAACAAGCTTGTTAAGCCTTGGTGATATTGATAATGTGGAGTAACTTGTGATCGTGGTTGTCATTTCTTCTTCAGTGAAATATGAAAGTGCTGCGCAGCCTATTGTTGGTGACGTTGCTTGGGTTGTTGTTTGTACAACTTGTCCACTGTGAGGATGCAGTTGATGATGAGGATGAAGAAGATGATGATGGAACTGTAGAAGAAGAAGATGACGATGCAACGGAGGAACCACCAAGAGAAAAGGTATGTAATATAGGGTTATAAACATGCTGAGCTGTTGTGCTCACTTTTCACTGTGCAGGTCATATGTGCAACATTTACGTAGCTAATGATATGATAAGACCAAGAATATCTTGTATTAAGAAGAGTTAAACCCTTTGTAAAAACATTTTGAATCCTGAAGTTAGGGCACCAATAGTACAATCTATTTGCTGTGTTGTGTAGAATTTACTAGTGGTGGTCCGATTAATTGAAATAATCGAAGATTGGTCGCAATGACTAAACAACCAAGCAATCGATCATGTTTTCTAATAATCGAACATAAACAATTTTGGAACACTTTTTTGCTTTAACAATATTTTTCACAAGGTTGGTTTTGTCTGTTACATTTCATAAGCACTACCAGCTCGTTCCAAGTCAGGAATGAATTTATCTTAAAGACTTCAGCTAATGTATGTTCCTAACATACTAGTCATCCTTTAAAGGTGTAAAATTTGCAAAAGCACTTTGTGAAGTTTGCAAAAAACTTGCAAGAACTAGTTATTTCTTTATTTTTTTGTGCATTAACAAACATAACCAGGAATATTTGATAAGTAATGCCAACCAATTATTTTCGATGATTGACTGGTTGCAATGAACCAAACATCAATTATTATGAGATTGTAACCAATTCCCAATACCTTTCTTAGAAGTCACTATTATTTACCAACTGCTGATACAACATAATGACCTTAGAAAATGACTGTTATTATCAGTTTGTGTAGGGACTAAATTGGTTCAGGTTTTAACACAATACTAGTGTATTGCAACTAGGAAAGGTTGATTTAATATTTGTTCTTTGATATTTGCTTTCAGCCACACTACAAAAAACCAGAAGTCAAAGGAAGTTACTTTTTTGCTGAGCCTTTTGATAACAAAGCAGAATCTATGAAAAGGTATGGTATGACTGCTGTGTCTCAATGTTTTAGTTGTTAACGTTCACTCAATCACTTATTTTTGTTTTCAAACTTCAGTATGTTAAGTAACTACCCATCCAACCCCAAAACACAAAGGCAGCCTAACATTATGTTTGAATTTTATGAAGATGAAAAACCAGATTCACTGATATGTAGGACATTTGATTGATTTCTCTCATTCTGTAGTTGCATTGATATGCAGGATGTTTTTTGTGGTATACACAATATATGTCCATCACAGTGTTATCCTGCTAGTTCTATGTAAGTGATTCATTTGGTATCATTCGATTTCAGATGGGTTCATTCTCAGGCCAAGAAAGATGGAGTAGAGGAAGACCTTGCCAAGTATGATGGTGAGTAGGTCATGGAAATGTTTAGTCAACCAGGGAAAGGCATATAGTATGTTTAGACAACCAAGGAAAGGCATATAGTATGTTTAGTCAACCAGGAAAAGGCATTTAGTATGTTTAGTCAACCAGGGAAAGGCATATAGTATGTTTAGACAACCAAGGAAAGGCATATAGTATGTTTAGACAACCAAGGAAAGGCATATAGTATGTTTAGTCAACCAGGAAAAGGCATTTAGTATGTTTAGTCAACCAGGGAAAGGCATATAGTATGTTTAGTCAACCAAGGAAAGGCATATGGTATGTTTAGTCAACCAAGGAAAGATATATAGTATGTTAAGTCAACCAAGAAAAGGCATTTAGTATGTTTAGTCAACCAAGGAAAGGCATATAGTATGTATAGTCAACCAAGGAAAGGCATATAGTATGTTTAGTCAACCAAGGAAAGGCATATGGTATGTTTAGTCAACCAAGGTAAGGCATATGGTATGTTTATTCAACCAAGGAAAGGCATATGGTATGTTTGGGTGGTCAGGCTCATTGACTTGGTTGACACTTGTCATCATATCCTGATTGTGTAGATTGATGTTCATGCTGTTGATCACTGGATTGTCTGATCCAGACTTGATTATTTACAGACCGCCGCCATATGGCTGGAATATTGCTGAGTGTGGCGTAAAACAAATCTCACTCACTCATGTAACAGTTTCAAATTGACATGTTAAGTCAAGAGCATATAACAACTTAAATGTTTTTGTTGTCCAGGAAAATGGGCCTTTGAAGAGCCGAAAGAAAACCCACTGACTGGAGATCTTGGTCTCATTCTCACTGTGAGTATTAAGTGATTATAGCACACAAACTAATGGTAAACTTCAACCTTTCAAGTGAGACTATGTATGATATTCACTGATGATAACAGAGGGCTGACTGTAGGAGCCCTGTTGAGGGACTAACTTACCAACTGTAGTGTGAGGACAGTTTGGAGATTGAAGGTGTGTTTTGAGGTAGCTTCATGATTTCAGCTGTGTGTGTGTAGGTCACAACCAAGATTTGATAAGAACTTAGAAACTGATTATCTCTAGCTCTTTACCAAAGTATTTTAAGAGTGAGTTGTCCAATTAATTACATGTACACTTAAATATATCTTCCTGTGATCTTTGTTCCAGTCAAGAGCCAAGCATCATGCTATTTCTGCCAATCTCAACAAACCATTTCAGTTCAAGGACAAGCCCTTAGTAGCTCAGTAAGTAAATGTTGTGATAGTGCTGGTGCAACTGATGGAATAATCAGTCAATCGGTCTTTCAGTTGATCTTGCTTGTGTCACCGATTGTCGATGTGCTCTAGAACTAATCAATGTTCATTAGAGGTGTGATGATACAGAAATTTCACGATACGATACGAATCGCAATATCTTGGAACGATACGATTCGATTCGATGCATATCACGATATGCTATCTTTAGTTATTTCCTTAAAAAAGGAAAGCGTATTTTGATAGCAAGTAACAGTGTAAATTTTGACATACTTGTCAATTTCTAGTGAAAATAGTAATTCTAATACATATCACGATACGAAAAAAGTATCAATATATTTATCGTCGGATAAAGTATCGCGATTATCGATACTACGATATATCGTCACAGCTCTAATGTTCATCAAATTAAACTTTATAAAGTATGTTTGTTATTATCCCCTGCTGCTCCTATGTATGCATCAGCGTCCGTATATATGTACATATGTCCAGATTCTTGTTAACACGATATCTCATGAACTGTTGTACCCAATGTCTTCAAATTTGGTGACAGTCTACATTGGGGATTACGCAGACTCCAGTCGATTTGGGTGACCTTGACCTTATCTTCAAGGTCACCATGACACTTTGACCACTGTTCAAACTCTTGTTAACGTGATATCTCAACTAGTAAATATGTTATAGTATTTCATTCTTCTTTAGCGGCAGGGGACATTGCCATATTAGTGGCAAACACTTGTTGTTATGTTTGTTATATCAAGATATAAACGACTGATGTTGTTTCTTGACTCATACAACTGCCATGTACACAACATGCTCACATACATGCCTCAACAGGAAGTGTCCTCGATGGTAGTATTAATTGGTGCCTGTTTCATTTGCATAATGTTATGATTGTGTCCTGTTATTGTCAACTTGAGTTTTGTGGTGGTGTCACAATCGATTACTGACCTCCGATTAACGAACTGAATATTGTGAGTAATAACCAGCTCAACATTGTGTGTTCAACTCCAGACCAGATTTGATAGTTGTGGCTGTCATTTCTGAAAACATGCAGGCAGTTGGTTGTAATTATTTACAGGAGTTGTAATGTTAATTAATGGTGATTTTTCATTTGGGTTAAATTTGACAGGTGGTTGCACAACTGATGTTTGTGATTCTCTCTACTTAGATATGAGGTGCGGTTTCAAAATGGCATGGACTGTGGTGGAGCATACGTCAAACTGCTGTCACAACAACAAAAACTTGATTTGGTAAGTGAAGTCCATATTCTTAAATGTGCTTCTATGGTAAATGTTTAATGATCTTTTGGCATTATTTGTGGCCTTGGTAAATTCCTGATGCTTTTGAATCTTGTAGATATTGATTTGTGATTAGCCATGTTGTAGCAGAAGACATTTGTTACTTTAATCCAGTCTAAACTTGAACTATATCATCCCAGAATTATACTGCTTTCATCAAGTACGTTTGTAGTTTAAATAAACTTAAGGAATTTTGTTGGCATTAATGTCATGGTTTGCCTTGTATGCTTTATCGAATATTTTATGAATATTCACCAGTGGATTAATAATGTTTTCAGAAATCCTTCCATGACAAGACCCCCTACACTATCATGTTTGGACCTGACAAGTGTGGCCTGGATCACAAGGTATTGTTGCTTTGATTGTTGCTAAAGAGGAAATTATATGCACACATCTTTAATGGGTATCATGTTGATAAAAATGCATGTACAGATAGGGACGCTTGAGAACAAAACATCCTGTTCATGACCATGTATGGTTACTTATTATTAGGGCTGGGACGATACACTATGTCACGATACGATACATATCGCGATATTATACCTGCGATACGATCGCGATACGATACGTATCACGATACATACACCTTGAAAGAATGGCACAGTATTAATGATTTAAAATGATTTATTTCAAGGTATTTGTGTATAACAATAGCACTATTGTAATAAACAAGCAAGAAACTCTATCATACTCGCGTATTTGTCTCTAAATAAGTACTTTAACATGTTTAAGATATAACTGTTATGAAAAAAGGTGTATCGTTTTGTATCAACGATGCGATAGCTGTATCAAACTTACATGTATCGCAGTGTATAGATGTATCAGTTAATTTCCCATCCCTACTTATTATTGTCTTGTTTTCATGTATGATATTGTTGAATTAAGCGCAATCTCAGTGGGTTTGGTGGGATGATCACACTGACTGGTACCCTGGATGTAAGGTCGTTGTTTATAGTATCATTCACTAGATTGTCTAAACAAGATTGCGTACTGGAAGCTGTCATATAGCTCTTGTTTGGGACTTGTATTTGTGGTGAAATTCATATACTTTGTTTGTTTTTTGTGTAGCTACACTTCATCTTCCGACACAAGAACCCCAAGACTGGTGAATTTGAGGTGAGCTATAAACCTTTTTGATGATCATTCTCATTGAGCTATGTTGAAGCACATGAGTGTCAAATGTTGGCCCATCAATATCAAGGCCAAGATATTTTAGTGGATGCTTGATGTGTTCACCCATTGCTAGCTGTGAAGTCGTAGGTGAAGCAATATTGAATGGGTACACATGTTTTGGGACAGGCAATGGTTTTGGGAGTCTATAAAGTTGCATGAATAAGGAGAAAATGTCATGTCCCCTGTTATTGTTACAGGAGAAGCATGCGAAGAAGCCATCCGGCAATCTGGACAGTTACTTCACAGACAAGAAGACCCATTTGTTCACACTTAGTACGTTACAGACAATTTGTTATTTCAAATACTCACATTAAGATTTGGATGTTTGGTTTACTTGATGTGTTCAGGTGAAATTGCACGATGAGTTTCCCAAAATAAAGAATATAATGTGTCTTGATTGTGTTAATATGGATAAACCCATGTTTTAATGAAATACCACAATGATGAATTGTGATACTTTATTGATTTTCTCAGTGGGATAGCCTAGTGGTTAAAGTGTTCGCTTGTCACACTGAAGACCCAGGTTCAATTCCCCACATGGGTGCAATGTGTGAAGTCCCATTTCTGTTGTCACCGGCCATGATATTGCTGGAATATTGCTAAAAGCGGTGTAAAAACATACTCACTCGTACTTGCTTTTCTCAGCCCTCTGAATAATTTAGTGGTATGAAAACAGAAAACAATGTAGTTACCATCTTTTTTCAGTTGTGAATCCTGACAACAGTTTTGAGTTCCTCATTGACAATGCTGTGGTCAACCAAGGAAGTCTCCTGGAAGATGTGAAGTGAGTGAGTCTTGTACATAGATCAAGGATGCTGGGGTAGAGTTGATCTCAAGTAACCAACACGTTTGTTAGACTCGATGAAATGGGTTAATTGTTACAGATAAAATCCAGATAAGCTGTGCATTTGTGTGATCTGTAAAATATATTGGTGATACCAGCTGGTTTTGAACTTTTTGGAATCAGATATGAAATATGTTAAAAATCCCAATTATGTATCAACACTGGAATTCAACTACCATAAGGCCTAAAGAAATGTTGTGGTTCTGATTACCCGACCGACCCTTGAATCCTGGTGCCGACCCTATTTTTCTTTAAGCGGTATGAATAAAATAAGCATTCAGATACTATTGTTTTTTTCCTGGCACTGACAGACATCGGTCATTCTGTTAGAGAAAGTCGACATGATGGCCACAAGGTTGATTAAATAAACAATTACACATTGATAAATAAGTGTAAGTGTAAAAATACCATATAGGCTTACCAAAGGGCCAAAAATTAAATTGAATTCCTAAAGAAAAAATAACAAATGTGAATTGTAGCTTGTAACTACTCAGTTTACACATGGCTCAAAAGGTATCTGGAGCCATGTTGATATGTGATTATTTGAACATTTACAGGGTATCACTATGTAAAATAAATTGCTTGCATCCATTTCCAGCCCTCCAGTAAATCCCCCTAAGGAAATTGAAGATCCCAATGACAAGAAGCCAGCTGACTGGGATGAGCGTGAGAAGTAAGTTAAATCTGTCAGGCACTTGCTCACATCATGTCACACCCTTTTGTATTATGTGAGGGGCACTTGGTCACATCATGTTACATCCTTCTGTGCTGAGTGAGGGGTACTTGGTCACATCATGTTACATCCTTCTGTGCTGAGTGAGGGGTACTTGGTCACATCATGTTACACCCTTCTGTGCTGAGTGAGGGGCACTTGGTCACATCATGTTACATCCTGTGTTGAGTGAGGGGCACTTGGTCACATCATGTTACATCCTTCTGTGCTGAGTGAGGGGTACTTGGTCACATCATGTTACATCCTTCTGTGCTGAGTGAGGGGCACTTGGTCACATCATGTCACACCCTTTTGTATTATGTGAGTGGCACTTGGTCACATCATGTTACATCCTTCTGTGCTGAGTGAGGGGCACTTGGTCACATCATGTTACATCCTTCTGTGTTGAGTGAGGGGCACTTGGTCACATCATGTTACATCCTTCTGTGCTGAGTGAGGGGCACTTGGTCACATCATGTCACACCCTTCTGTGTTGAGTGAGGGGTTCTTGGTCACATCATGTCACACCCTTCTGTGTTGAGTGAGGGGCACTTGGTCACATCATGTTACATCCTTCTGTGCTGAGTGAGGGGCACTTGGTCACATCATGTTACATCCTTCTGTGCTGAGTGAGGGGTACTTGGTCACATCATGTCACACCCTTCTGTGTTGAGTGAGGGGTTCTTGGTCACATCATGTCACACCCTTCTGTGTTGAGTGAGGGGCACTTGGTCACATCATGTTACATCCTTCTGTGCTGAGTGAGGGGCACTTGGTCACATCATGTTACATCCTTCTGTGCTGAGTGAGGGGCACTTGGTCACATCATGTCACATCTTTCTGTGCTGAGTGAGGGGTACTTGGTCACATCATGTCACACCCTTCTGTGTTGAGTGAGGGGCACTTGGTCACATCATGTTACATCCTTCTGTGCTGAGTGAGGGGCCCTTGGTCACATCATGTCTCATCCTTCTTTGCTAAGTGAGGGGAGACTGGGTCACATCATGTCATATCCTATCCTGCCTCCGTGGTGTAGTGGTTAGAGCGACCGCCCAGAGAGCAGAAGGTCGCGGGTTCGATCATGCCAAAAGACGTTAAAATATGGTACTTGTTGGTCCCTGCCTGGCGCTCGGCATTAATGGGTACGACAAGGACTGGTCGGCTCGGAGTCAGTATAATGTGTCTGAGTGGGGTATTCATGCTTCACTGCGGCATGGTATCTCAGTGGGCTAGCACTATAAAACCAGCTTAAGTCTGGGCTAGTACAAGCAGACCCACATACACACGCATGCACATCGTCATATGAGGGAAATATTCTCAAGCACGACGTTAAACCCAATTTCACCTCACTTCACCTCATATCCTGTGCAGAGTGAGGGGCACTTGGTCACCACATGTCATATCCTGTGCAGAGTGAGGGGGACTGGGTCACATCATGTCATATCCTGTGCTGAGTGAGGGGGACTGGGTCACATCATGTCATATCCTGTGCTGAGTGAGGGGGACTGGGTCACATCATGTCAGATCCTTCTGTGCTGAGTGAGGGGTACTTGGTCACATCATGTCAGATCCTTCTGTCAGATCCTTCTGTGCTGAGTGAGGGGGACTGGGTCACATCATGTCAGATCCTTCTGTGCTGAGTGAGGGGGACTGGGTCACATCATGTCAGATCCTTCTGTGCTGAGTGAGGGGGACTGGGTCACATCATGTCAGATCCTTCTGTGCTGAGTGAGGGGGACTGGGTCACATCATGTCAGATCCTTCTGTGCTGAGTGAGGGGGACTGGGTCACATGTCATATCCTGTGCAGAGTGAGGGGGACTGGGTCACATGTCATATCCTGTGCTGAGTGAGGGGGACTGGGTCACATCATGTCATATCCTGTGCTGAGTGAGGGGGACTGGGTCACATCATGTCAGATCCTTCTGTGCTGAGTGAGGGGGCTGGGTCACATCATGTCAGATCCTTCTGTGCTGAGTGAGGGGGACTGGGTCACATCATGTCAGATCCTTCTGTGCTGAGTGAGGGGGCTGGGTCACATGTCATATCCTGCCCAGAGTGAGGGGACTGGGTCACATGTCATATCCTGTGCTGAGTGAGGGGACTGGGTCACATGTCATATCCTGTGCAGAGTGAGGGGACTGGGTCACATCATGTCATATCCTGTGCAGAGTGAGGGGACTGGGTCACATCATGTCATATCCTGTGCAGAGTGAGGGGACTGGGTCACATCATGTCATATCCTGTGCTGAGTGAGGGGGACTGGGTCACATGTCATATCCTGTGCTGAGTGAGGGGGACTTGGTCACATCATGTCATATCCTGTGCAGAGTGAGGGGGACTGGGTCACATGTCATATCCTGTGCTGAGTGAGGGGACTGGGTCACATGTCATATCCTGTGCAGAGTGAGGGGGACTGGGTCACATGTCATATCCTGTGCTGAGTGAGGGGACTGGGTCACATCATGTCATATCCTGTGCAGAGTGAGGGGACTGGGTCACATCATGTCATATCCTGTGCAGAGTGAGGGGACTGGGTCACATCATGTCATATCCTGTGCAGAGTGAGGGGGACTGGGTCACATGTCATATCCTGTGCAGAGTGAGGGGACTTGGTCACATCATGTCATATCCTGTGCAGAGTGAGGGGGACTGGGTCAGATCATGTCAGATCCTTCTGTGCTGAGTGAGGGGGACTGGGTCACATGTCATATCCTGTGCAGAGAGGGGGACTGGGTCACATGTCATATCCTGTGCTGAGTGAGGGGACTGGGTCACATCATGTCATATCCTGCGGTGCATGGTGAGTGAGGGGTAGCCTAGTGGTCTTGTCTCATGCCGAAGACCCAGGTTCGAATCCTCACATGGGTACAATGTGTGAAGCCCATTTCTGGTGTCCATCGCCATGATGTTGCTGGAATATTGCTAAAAGCGGCATAAAACCAAACTCAGTCAGTCCTGATGGTGTGGGCCATTGGACTCTGAGATCCACTATTGATTATTTACAGGCCACTGTCATTTAAATATTTGTAAAGTATTTCTGAGTGCAGCATTAAACAAAGAGTTAAACAATTACATGCTTATTACATGTATGTGGGTGTATTGTGTTCATTCCGTTATATCTCTGATGTTTTCAGAGGTAACTACAGCTATGTACAAACTTTGAAATATTTTGTATTTTTTCAGAATTCCTGACCCTGATGCCTCCAAGCCCGATGATTGGTAGGTGCCCGGGGTTTCTGTCAACCAGATTTAAGTTGTGATCCCTCCATAGAGTTACTTCTGTATTTAAACAGTGACTGATGGACAGACCATGAGACGAGCAGGCAGACATTTTATGAGCTTTTCACATAATATATATACTTTTATGTAGAGTAAATGTCATGCATAATGTTATTATATATTAGCAATTCCTTATGGAATACTGAGAGACACTTGTTATTTAACTTGCTATTAAAAATATAAACAGCAGTGTCGTGTGAACTGGACATATTTAGCAATGTAACTCGTTCTTATGGCATTATAAAATGTAGTAGACGTTTGCATGTGTCCACTGGACATTAACCATATCAATTCTGAAAGAGATTAACTTTATGGACAGTGAATGTTGAAAAAAGTTTAAAGGTAAATTGACAAATCTCACAAAAAAGTAAAACATATATGTCACCTTCCACAGCACTGATATCTCACCAGTGACAACACCTGGTTTTGTAATCAAATAAGGGTAACACTGCATTGAAATTATGCCAAGGCTCTTCATAATCTCCAAGACATTAGAACTGTTATGGACAAGTGAAGATCCGGGGTAGAATAGGTCTTCAGCAACCCATGTGCTTGCCATAAAAGGCGACTATGCTTGTCGTAAGAGGCGATTTAACGGGATTGGGTGGTCAGCTGACTTGGGCACATGTCATTGCAGATTGATGCTCATGCTGTTGATCACTGGATTGTCTGGTCCAGACTCGATTATTTACAGACCGCCGCCATATAGCTGGGATATTGCTGAGTGTGGCGTAAAACTAATCTCACTCACTCACTCACTTCTTAGAACTGTTATGTAGTTTTTTTGCACTGTAGCTAGAGATGGCACTTTTTGTTTCCATGCCTGGTACTCGATGTGAAGGGGGTAAAACATAGTGTAGTAGTGAGTGTAATGTATCATTTGTAGACTGAACTACAGTCTCTTACAAGCAGCCATATTTACTAGCAGTCAAACATGCTGGCATGAACTCACTTTACAACTGAAATAATCTTCAATATGACATGAAACACCATTCCACTTCAGGTCACCTTTGAAAATATAACGGTAATGATTAGCTTAGCTTTGGACCGTTTTATTCTGTGGGACTAATGTACTATCCAAAATAAGAAACATAACGAAATATGTGAACACTGACATCTGCTACATAACCAAATACTGATATAACCAAATAATGTAATTTTTGCTGCGAATTGTCAACTGACAATACTATCTGTGAGATGTGTTATTTATGAATGTGTATGTTACTAGGGATGAGTCTGAGCCCGAGATGATCCGTGATCCGGATGGAGTGAAGCCTGATGGCTGGCTGGATGATGAACCCCTGTTGGTGCCCGACCCAGCTGCAGACAAACCTGAGGACTGGTGAGTAGGGGTCTTTGTTGTTTGTTGGCTGCTATAGTGCTTCTGTTGACTCTAATGTTTCACTGTGCAAAAGGATCGGTGGGGTATCTAAGTGGTTAAAGCGTTTGCTCGTCACGCCGAAGACACGAGTTCGATTCCCCACATGGGTACTCTGTGTGAAGCCTATTTCTGGTGTCTCTTTCCCCCTTTTTCTTGATATTTAATTATAATTGTCATAGAGCAGTCTTGGCAATATGATTTCTGTAAAGTCCAGTTATTTATATAAATGTATAATAGTAATTGAGCTAAGAATTGTCCTTAACATTCATAAACTGATAACATTAATATGGTTTGAGAATCTTCAACAATTGTGTTCCAGGGATGACGATATGGATGGAGAGTGGGAGGCACCTCTTGTTGGTAAGTGAAGTTCGGGAATAGAATCAAAATTCTTGGATGATGAAGTGTTTGAAAGATATGTCCTGTTTTAAAATCAACAAAAGTTGCATAGCTCTTTGTCATGTGTGTTCTCTTATTACATTCACCCCATGTGTGCTGAGCATAACTTTCTGTCATAGTAATTGTATACATTAGTGTGTGAGTTTACTGGCCAATACATAGTTTTACTCCCCTCAGGCTTCTAACTAGTGGCTTAAGTTGAAGACGATGTATTGAAATCCTCTGTATGTTCATGGGGCACAGGTGTCACAGACGTCCCAGTTTGCTGTAAAGAGTTATCTCCCTTGTGCATGCAATACACCCAATTCTGGTTCAGTCAATTATGTTTGTAGGTATGTTGGAATCATTCCTGTGTTGTTCAAGCCTACCCTCCAAGCTTCACACACTGTCATAGTAAGTGACTAGGGCAGTGTGAAATGTGTAATCAAAACTCACTCACTCCCTCTATATGTTTTCCAGATAACACCAAGTGTAAGGAAGCCCCAGGGTGTGGAGACTGGCAGCCCGAAAACATCAAAAACCCCAACTACAAAGGGAAATGGTCTGCTCCAATGATAGACAACCCCAACTACAAGGTGAACTTGCTCATGGAGTTACATAGTTGGCGCTTATACACTGAAAACTATGGTCTTACAATGAATTCATCTCAAATTATCTGCTTATTGTTTTCCTAGCTAAATAGAAACTAAAAAAGAGCATGCGTGCTTCATATTCCCAGCCTCATGACACCTCATTAAAAATCCTAAATGTAAGCATGCAGCTTGTGTACGTCTTATGGTTGAAATTGTCTAGGATTCCATACCCATCTCAGAGCCCTCATATAGATGCAGCATGAGAGATAGTTTAATAAATTTATGGACATCTTTAGGACGTTTTAGAGGAATGTCCTAGGATATATATTCCAAATAGAAACCCTGAGTAATGGTAGTTTATTAGCATTTCAGTTGTGATATTTGTGGCATCAACAAAATATATCAGTGGAGTTCCCAGGCTGGAAAGTTTATTGTTGATAAATAGCTTTTAACATGATTATACAATGTCCTCCATTGCCACCAGCTGGCCGTGTCCACGAATTTGGCTCTCATGTTGTCATAAGATAGCTGCTAGCTAAAGAGGCATTAATTCACTTGCATAATCCTGTGATTAAGTCAAAAGCATGTGTGTTTTTCTCTTCAGGGCATCTGGAAACCACAAGTCATTCCTAACCCAAACTACTTCGAAGACGTGCAGCCATTTAAAATGACCCCCATTGTAAGTACCTAGTGCTACATCATAGCAAGGTTCCTGAGTAACATTTGTTAGAGCCAACAGTACTAGCATACACCTTGTCATTGCAACTGTAGCACACTTGAGTAAACTGGCATCTATCAGCTGATATTTTACTGCACTGAACACATATGTCAAATGTCACAAGTCTGCAGGTTATTACAACTGCTATACTAACGGACTTGACCGTGTTGGCGGTACACCTGAACGTTATACATTATAATAAAGAAGTTGTATGGCCATTATACTTTCCCTGTTGTTCATGACACCAGCTTCTCTTTGCCACTCAAAGAAGTTAGTTGGAACTTATAATTGTGGCTATAGGTACAGTCACAGAGTAGAAGTGGGGTGTATTTATTTGTTAACTAGAGAGTATTTCAGCCCTCAAATGGTCATGGTCTTAGTAACATTTTACAGCCAATTCTTATTACTGTTGTAATAATCTGTCATGTCTTTTATGACTTAACTCCACCTGTTTGTTTTAGAATGCTGTCGGTCTGGAGTTGTGGTCAATGAGTGATGGAATCGTGTTTGACAACTTCCTCATCACAGATGACCGAGTTGTGGCAGAGGAGTATGCAGAACAAACATGGGTTTTGAAAAATATCGAAGAGAGGGCATCCTCTTCTGCTGGGGTAAGGACGCAATTTCTTTACAACAGTTGGGCAAATCTGTCATTTGTACATAAAATACCCAAATCTTTTGTCCATTAAGTTGTTACATTGTTTACTAGTTCATAACTATTCATTCTTATAATGAGAAGCCTAACTGGAAAAACTATTTATATAATGTTTCAACAGACTGTGACAACATCTTCCCATTTGTTCCTAAAACATGATAGACTTTACAAACTGTGATAAAGACTGACAATTTAGTTGGTAATTAGAGCGGATATTGTTGACAGATTTTCCCAACTCTTCCATTGACATTATGAATTACTATTTCTGATTCTGTCTCCTTAACTTTCACAGTCATGTGAAGATTAAAATTTGCATGAAAGCTTATAAGTAGTATTATCGAACAAAATTGTAATTGTTATTACTGGCCTGTAATTTCAAAATTTTAAATTATATCATATCCCCCATATTGTGAAAAAACCCATCTTCCTCTACTTTCAGCGTTCCGTAGTAGATGCAATAAAACAGGCCACTAATGAACGTCCGTGGCTATGGGCAGTGTTTATAGTGGTAGTTATCTTGCCCATAGTCCTTATTGTAGCCTATTGCTGTATATCAAAGGTAAGACATGTGTTGCCACTTTTAGACTGTCTGCATGGCTAGAGGCTTCCCTCACTCCAGCTCAGGTTACTGCTGCACAAAGGCTTGACGTTAGGGATCTGTTGTACACTTTCATGATCTGTATGTACCTGTGTTCAGATACAGGCAGTCCTGACATGAACAAAGGTGAATGAACAAATTCTATCAACTTGAGTGACAAGCTATCACTGTCATATCTGAAGTATTGGTTATGACAGTCGTAGCTTGTTCAGCTTGTGAAACATGACAATGTTTCTACTTTCAACTTGAGCGTTTGTTCTCATTTTCGAATCAGTTGACTTAGATTTGATGATCGTGTAGATCAGCTGAGTATCAGCTGTTCGAGCCTCTAGAGCAGCACTGACCTTGGCACAATATTTGCATGCTGTAAGATACCCAGTTGACAATCATGTCCACGTTACACAGGGATTTTGGACCACACTGAAGTCTGCGGCAGATGACCGCCCGTGGCTGTGGGCCGTGTATGTGGTGGTCCTCCTGATGCCTATCGTCCTGCTGTCTATATGCTTGTGCCCTAAATCAGGGCCTGTCAAGGTAACAGGCTTCTCCTTGTCGTAGATCACACAGAAGAGGACAGATTGTTCCAGGGTCCCTGTAATGTTGTTAATTGACAGTGTGGCTTTGAGCAGCTACCAGGGCAGAAGTACAACATGGGAATATGTCAAAAGTTGGAGGTTCCATCCGCAGGTTTCAGACTCACACACTCACAGTATGGTATATGTTACAAAAAGCGTTCCTTTGAAACCATGATTAATTTAATAACCCAAAATTTACCCTGGACAGCATCACTGGTAGGTACAGTCCAATGTAACAGAAATTTGCTCTACTCTGACAGTGTAGGTTTTTTTAAAAACAAAAAAACCAAATACTTTTTGGACAGATTGTGTGTACCCTGTTAGGTAGATGAGTGTTCAAGTGTCTCCACTGAATGTAGTCTCAATGTGGTAGGTATTTTGTATAGTCCTTCAGCTATAGTCAGCTGATCATCCTGATCAGGTAAGTGTAACAGGCAGTTGTTAGATTTTTCGTAACTTGCTTATTTACTTCAGTTTAATCCTGTACGTTCTGTGTTACAGTAAACTAGGGACATGTTCTAAAATAACCATGAAAACTTCGAGTTGATGGAAGGGACTTTGAACTGTTCTCCAGTTTACTGTACGGCAGTTGTGATTCAGATTAGTTGTGAAATGATCTGTCCTGACTGTTTAAATATGACATCTGTATGTGTTGGTTTCTAGATTTGATGACTACCTCATGCAATTTAACTTTATTTACCAGCTTTTTGTTCCTCAGTGGATTGGATGTTGCAAATCTTGTGTTAAATTCTAATGCACTTGCTCACTTTTTTCAATATCTTTTTCATGATTGTAAAAATAACATTCATTACTTTCATAATTTGTAGCAGATATACACTCAACAAAGACATAGTTTGTTGAAATTCTAATTTGTAAACTTGGATGTCTTTATCACACGATTCGAGACATGTTTAATTAATTACATAATGGTTGAGGAGAAGTATGAAGGTATTATATTCATAGTTACATATGACACCATATCCCATAGTATCCATGACAACTTACATCAATGATCGTAAAGTAAACGAATGTTTTGTTGAGTAAAGTGTTCTAAGAGTTGATAACTGTTGGATTGTTAGTCGTATACTGATATCACACGCTTCATCATTTCAGCCTGAAGATGTAGATGCCCAGAGAAAGAAAACAGACGAGCCATCACCTGATGATGAGGAGGAGGAGAAAGAAGATAAAGCAGAGTCCTCTGGTGACAAGAAGTCAGTCGGACCAGGGGGAGATAACAAAGGGAAAACATCAAAGTCAGATTTAAATGCAGCAGCAGTAAGTGGATGTTTACTTTGAGATACACATTCAATCAAAAACACTGTAACTGCACAGTTATGGCCCATTAGGTTTTCTGTGGGCCTCCCTTTTCATAGTCAGGAATGACATAAAATGACATAAAATAATACTGGCAGTGCACTGATATTGAAAAACTGACATAAGTAGGTCCGAGTGCAGGTCTGCATAGGTGGTCAGTGCCTCGTATGTGTATGGGCAGACTGGGTTCTCTACTTGCCTGACAGAACGTACATGTATACATTTCAAAATATGTTCTAATGTCTTTCTTATAGAATTATGCTGAGAAGTTTGTTGTAGTTTGAAGAATAGTAAAAAGTGGAAAAGCGGCAAGTTATTTTAGCTGATGTAGCAATTGTGAAGCTACTTCGTCAGTAACCCACAATGGACTACTGATGGAGATTCTCTGACAACAGAAGGCTACTGTACATACATGTTATGAAGGGATAGTTCCTATTTCCTCAGACTATTTCCTTGTGTATTTGTGGAAGACTAGAGGGAAGAAGAATATGAGTTTATGGCCTTCGAGGTTCTGGTAGAGATACGGTTGTTATGTGTATTTTACCTCTTGTCTTGAAACTGTCAAACTTCTGAATAGGCATTTACAAACTTACATGAAATTGTTGAGATATGCTGACTTAGCAAAACAGTGTTCTTCCTTAATCGCTGATGTATGATGGCTGTTTTATAGGATGAAGAAGATGATGGTGATGATGAAGATGCAGATGAAGAAGAAGAAAGTGATGAAGTGAAAGAAAACAAATCTAGCTCACCTCAGTAAGACCTTTCATTATGTTGAGCTTCATTTATTGTAAGCATTAGTTACTGAGAGTAGCCACAATAGATTTGCTGAATGACTGAAAGGTTATTTGCTTAAGTGGTTAGTGGTTTTAAGGCACTATTTAGTATGTTGAATCACTCAGAGTGAATCTATATGTGTGTGAAGCCTCTTTCTGAGGTCCCACGCAATGATGTTCCTGAAATATGGCTAGAAGATGGCAAGCATCCTGGTCACTCACTCACTCGATCACCTGTGGAGATCCGGGTTAGATTTGGTCTTCAGCGAATCCATGAGGCGACTAATGGGATTGAGTGGTTGTGCTTGCTTTCTTAGTTGACACATGTCATCGTACCCCAACTGTGTCGATCAATGCCATGATGTTGATCACTTGATTGTCTGGTCCAGACTTGATTATCCACAGAAAGACATACATATAGCTGGAATATTGCCCAGTGTGGCATTAACAACAAACTAAAACCAAAAAAACACACACTCATTCCACTCCCTCACTTCATCATATTGTTACTTCATAGTAACATGAAAGCTTCCAAAACCTACAAGATGATAGAGTAGACCCTCTAGTTTTGTGATTTTCTGACACTGTGTATTGTTTTCAGGAAATCTCCAAGGAGGAGGAAGACCCGCAGAGAATAAATCCAAGTCATGTAACTATTTTATGCATTTTACTGTGTACAAGGACTGAGTGATGCCAAAAGCTTGAATGTGACTATGCCTGGGATCTCTTTGTGAACAAGTCAAAGTTCTGGAAGTACTGGTAGGAACCCCTGCCTTGACCTTGGCCTTTGTCGTGACCTGTCTGTCATGTCAGCAAGATTACTCCAATACAAACAGACCTGTGGGATAAAGTGCCACCTCAAACAACACCTACAGTAAAATGTATTAAACCTATTTGTCATTTTTTAATATTGAAGTTACCTGTTAGAAAAAATTAACGGATATTTTTAGCCCTGTTCAATTTGTATGAAGAATTCTTGAACTGTCAGTATGTGTCCAACTGGGACCGATTTACATGTTGTCTCCGGACTGAAATATCTGGATGAAGTGTTCAGTGAGAGCTGTGTATCTGCTGCAATCTGGGTGAGGCATGCTTACAGCTGCCATCTGCAGCATACTATAGCTGCAAGATACAGACTACAGCTGCCAGCTGCAGCATCCATACTACAGTGACCAGCTGTCAGCATGCTATTTACAGTTACTGAATGCAGCACTGGACTCCCAAGACAACCTGACACATCAAACTTCCATCCCAGTGACAAAGTGTAGGTCGTTCATGTCACTAATGCTTAGCTCAGTTTGAGATTGTTTTCATTTTTTTAATGAATTTTTTTAAAGATTACTGTATATTACACTTTTAAAATCAAATTAATAATACAGGGTACAATTTGTATTTTCCAAGTCAATAAAATTCAAAGATAGGGGCATCAGCTGTCATGGATGAATCACACATTTATTATATCCTTTCAAAGACCACCACTAGACACGAGTTGTGTGAATGTTGTACAGTGTGGAGTCCTTGTGAGAATTCTGTGCCCTGATGTTTCCGTGTACACCCAGGAGATGGATGTCCTTGTGTCAGCAGACGGCATGAACGCCTGGCCTCCAACGTTGACATGTTTCAGTTGCATTTAGAAGCTGTAGCTCAAAGACGGGATTGACCTATGGATCTCAACTTCTTTACTTCAGTTCATAGGATCAGTAAGCACACAGTGCCAAGGATCTAGAGAATACTCTGTCTTGCAATAAGACTTGCTTAAAGAAGGAACTAGGATGCTTTGGAAAGAAAAGAGGTTGAGTCCAAAAGTGAATCCCGGTCTAAGGTCCTGAGTTGTCCAGACATCTTGTGCCCCATTGCTGTTGATTTGTTGCCTGTCTGTAAGTAGAGGTTGGACACTGTCATGTACATATTAACCCAGTGTGATATTGGTGTGTATGAGATAATAAATGGGAGATCTGACATATGCCAGCATGTGTGTTAGGATGGACTCGCACTGTGCAGGCTTCCCTCTAAATCATAAGTGTATTTCAGAAGCACACTTAACAATGAAAGTCTGTCAGTCAATGATATAACACTAATAGTTTCCCTAATTAACATAGGCTTATGATGTTCTTAATTCTGAGAATCCTTTAAGAAAAGGGCTCTGGTCAGTTACTTCCTACTGAAATTTTCAAATTTGCAATAATCAGTAGACCTACATAGACCATGAATCCTGGGTCTCAGATTCATTCAAGGCACCAATGACAGTTGGTAGAACTTGAAACGGGTAACGCCGAGCTGGAATAAATAAATGTGATTTTGTCACAGATTATGCCATCCAAGAAAAGCGGCTTCTCATAAGATAGTGGTTTGCCTTGGTTGCTTGTGAAGTGATGTCATGTACTGGGTAGTTGTTCAATTGTAGATAGATCATACTAAAGTCATTCCCTTCACTGTGTACTGTTAATACTACAGTATTATGACTGTATTGCAGGCTTTCCTGCCACCACACTTGACATAGCATTGTACACAAGCCATCGTGACCCTATTCCACCTGAAATACAGGTAAATGCCCTCGTTAACCACAAAGCTCAGATTCACAGGTGCATCATCAGGTGGTCAGTCATGATGAATCCAGTCATTAGGAACAATCACCATGTGACAATGACTTGTAGTGAAATATTCATTTGGTAGTTGAAGAAGACACTTTTTGTACATTAATAACTGTGTGGTAAAGATGTGTTTGTGTGGATGTGTATTGATGTTAAGAACCGAGCAAGTCCTACCGTGTGTTACAGATATTTTCATCCTTTGTTATAACATCAGTATACCTAAGGTAATACTGATAGGTTTGCAAAATAACATTGTCAAGGGTTATTTTGCCAGTGTTTACCATTTTGATTAGATGTCTGTAATTGTTTTATTGTCAGTATCTTACACGCTGTCTGTATATTTTGTTTTAAGTCATGATTATTTGGTTTAGTGAAAGATAACAATGTTCAGATCTATGAAAACATTTCTTAAGTTGTTGAAAACTTTCATAACTTCCAGGTATGTCTGTTTTTTGTTTTGTGCTTTCACAGGACAGTCTTTCTACATACACACGTCTTGGACAACCAACGGAATTGGTACATGCAAGTTGCATTGACTATAATGAATCGTTATAATACTTTCTCATCACAATATTTGACATGTTCTGTATGTTAAACAGTATTTACACGGCTCCTAAACAGTTTTCTTTTGCACAGTTGGGACAATTTTCTTCTATCCTGTTTTTGTTGCTGTTTTGTGTATTTGATTGTTTTCATAGGCTTTTCTCCTGAAATCTGAAATATAAATTGGAACCAAATAAGGCTGTCCAGTGTTTAGAATGGCATTGTTCAGAGATTGAGAAAGGTTTCTGAGACACAGTATTCACATGATACTAATGAGCAAGATCAGGGTACACAACAGTCTGGCAGAATCTGTTTTCATTACTGTTCAATCCTTGTGATTGTTGTAAAACGACCACTTGAAATACAGTTTGGAATTTGTTATCCTTGATCTGTTGTTTTATAATTGAGTTTGAGTTCTATTACATTTTTAAGTAAATGTCTTAATTAAGGTTTTTTTCAGCACTTTCTTTTCAGTGGAATTCCACTAGGGCAATATAAATCAGAGATATAGTAATACTATAATTGGATTTTGTTTTGAAAAATGTAATCAGAAATTAGAACTTAGTTTTACATGATAACTATTGGACGTTTTAGTTGGCTTCGTTCAGCAGTATATCCAGATCTTCCGTACTCATGAGTCCGTGTTCATCTGTGCACAGATGATGTGATGCGGAGGGAATCTTCCCAGTATGATCAAACAAGATAATGATGGAGGTTGCATCACAAACAGTTTGGGACAAATACTTTGATTAGAAAATAATGCGGAAATTTGAAATTTCACTATAATTTCTCTTTTACCTACAACTTTGAAAAGATGCAATATGATATCCACCCAATCGGTTGTATGGTACACGTTCCTCATTCTGAATTGCTCGCCAGGTTGTGCTCTCATTGATGGATACGAAGCTGATACTACCCACAGTCCTGGAAGTTATGTTTTGTGTGTGATAAGAGATGTTAAGAAAGCAATTTTTATCCTATTTGGAAGTTACCCATTGCCTGTTGTCATGTTGTACTATTTAATTACTCATAATCATGTGAGAATAAAAAAATGTTTACTTTTCATGACACTGTACTTGTCTTTTCGAGGCTTGGGAAGCTGTGCAGAATTGTGTCCCTTTGATGTGCCAGGATTTGCAGATTGTGGCATCAACACTGTCATGACAAGTACAATTGATGTTTTCGCTTCACGAAGTATTGAATGCCACTAGAAGTATCACATTGGGGTTTTCAACAGCATGCTGGCACAAAAGTGTGATCCATCTCAGCAGGTGGATGGGTTTAACAGAAACCCTGACCAGAGCTGTGGCCTGGTGAACAGAACATGTCTTGAAAGTGAAATGTCGTGCTTCGATCATCCATGTCTTGTTTGTTTTGTTGATTAACTCCGCACTCTGCAATATTTCAGGGGTCTGCAAATAATAGTCTGGACCAGACAATCCAGTGATCAACAGCATGAGCATATATCTACATACTTGCTGAAGGATGACATTTGTCAACCAAGTCCGGGAGCCTGATCACCCGATTACATTAGTCGCTTCTAACAACAAGCATGCTTGCTGAAGACCAGTTATTACCCGATTGTTATGGGTCAGTTTCCATGTCTGCCATTATGGGGCTGAACTGAGGACAGGTCAGCTCAGGGCTGGTATTTGGTGTTCATGTGAAACTGTAGCATGGTACTTCTGGGATAGCATCATGAAGGCAGCATAGTTTGAAGTGGTACATGCACTGACGTTTCACTACATAAGTTAAAAGTTTGTCTAAAATGCCAATCAAACATCTACATAAGTGCAATAATATTACATGCAACCTAAAACCCTACTTCACCTCACTTGTTTGCACATATGGAGTAACCCCAGGCGTGTGATTTAGGCATGGATGAGGCACAAATGTTTCGAAGAGTGCAGTGTATGAACACCCTGCTTGTGGGAAATAAAACTTTTCCAACTGCATAAATCAAGCACCACCCACATTTTTCATATGCTCAGTACGAAACACGTCATGTTGCTTTGAAAACCACATTGCATGTATTAAAATGGAACCTTACATATTTTACTCTGATTAAAACAAAAAGGAAATTGAAAAATGATGATGACCACCAATCTGAATGTCAAACAGTTCCCAAACGATTGTTGATATTGTATGAACCATCCCTCGCCTCTTAAGACAAGCATGGGTTACTAAAAACCAATATTCTAACCCGGATCTTCACGGGACCTCGGGCAGAGTATTACATTTTGAGCACAGTAATTGGTCTCAAGGGACATATGTCAATCCTACCAAGGCGGAGCAAAAGTTATCAAGCAAGTGATCAATAATTGGATTGTCTGCTTCAGCAGGGGCGGATCCAGAGAGGATTTCCCTGAGGAGCATTTCTCCCCTTCTCCAAAATCCTGGATCCGCCCCTGTCCAGACTCGGTTATTTACTGACTGCTGTGATATAGCATGGACATTGTCGAGTACGGCGTTAAACAGCATACAAACATGAGCGATGTCTGGAATGAGGTAATCTTTCAATCAGCCACTTCCCATATTGTATATGAGTTGCATTCCTTGACATCCTGTGTCCTACTGATTCAACAACACCCAACATCCGATTGCGATGTCCCGCTTCCTTCCCCATCCCTGACCTCAAGGAACAATGGGCTGTTTGTAACTGGCAATGTTTGTACAGATGGTCATCATTATGTTCTGTTTGACTGAGACATGTATTATTACTATATGCAAGAAACCTATAGGACTGAGGGTTCTCATCTGGCGTATCCGTCCTTATGTGTCCAGGTTTGTCAGGGGCGGACGGGTAGCCTAATGGTTAAAGTGTCCCCTCGTCACGCTGAAGACACGGGTTCGATTCCCCAGATGAGTACAATGTGTGAAGCCCATTTCTGGTGTCCCCCGCCGTGATATTGCTGGAATATTGCTGAATGCGGCGTAAAACCAAACTCACTCACTCACTAGGTTTGTCAGCGTCATACCTGTGCCCACTGGTTTCATCAAGATGGTTAACTTTGGTGCATCAGTTTAAACCTTTCTCCCAAATCAAACTCACTCAACATGATATAAAATGAATACTATATGAAGCGACATTCTTCCAATTTCGTTCAGTGTATCTCGCTGGTTCCACTTATCACTTGGCAGAACACAGTAGAGATCATATATAAGAGTGTTTGTTTGGTGTTTAACACCGCACTCAGCAATATTCCAGCTGTATAATCAAGCCAGGACCAGACAATCCAGTGACCAACAGCATGAGCATCGATGTATGCAAGTGGGATACGATGACATGTGTCAACCAAGTCAGCAACCTAACCACCCGATCCTGTTAGTCACCTCTGACAACAAGCATGAATTGCTGAAGACCAATTCTAATCCAGATCCTCATGGGTTATTAATATGGGGTGGGCAGATATTTCATTGACTTTCCAGAAGAGAAGTTTCTAATTGATGTTTAGATACATATTACGTAGTATTACAGAAACTGTTTGTGTGTTCCTGCCCAACTTTGGGCGATGGGGTAGCCTAATGGTTAAAGCGTTGGCTCGTCACGCCGAAGACCCGGGTTCGAATCCCCACATGGGCACAATGTGTGAAGCCCATTTCTGGTGTCCCCCGCCGTGATGTTGCTGGAATATTGCTAAAAGCGGCGTAAAACCAAACTCAGTCAGTCAGTCCTGCCCAACTTTACCCTTATAAAGGATACTGACAGGCAGTGTGCGAAATAGGTTCCAAATTTTGCAAGCCAGTCGGGATAGCTATGCCTGATAGTTACTAGCCCACAGAATAATTCACTAATCCGACATTTGAATGGAGACACGGGTTTCATCATTAAGCTGCTAATATGATGAACAATTTCATCAGGCCATAATGTGGCATGATTTAAAAGTGTATTATAACTTAACAAGTTTGACCTTTTTACAATATGACCCCATGAAAATTCACTAGCCAGTCGGGCCAGTGATTGTGAGGATTTACTGGCCCGACTTGATTTTTACAAGCCACGGGCTAGCGGGCTAGTGGCTATTTCTCACACTGCTGACAGGTGGATTGTGACATTGTTGTCTATAGTTTTGTCATGATTTTGAAACGTTTCCTGTGAAATAAATAAAATATAAATGGTTTAGTGATGAAGCCCACCACATTTTGATTCTCATTCATCGTAATTGCTGCTACCAAAAGGAATTCAACAGTTATAATATACCCTTTGAAGGGACATAGAAGTTGGTTACAATTACAATTATACATTTTAATGAGAGATTTCATGAACCTCACCTAATCATGTAGGTGTGTTTTTGCCCAAGAACAGAATTGAAAAACTAAATGTTTTCAAAAACATTTAACATTTATATTTTATTAACTTACTTTTCAGTCACAATCAGCTGAAGGTTGAGTAGTATTTTCTTTTGGTTTTTCCGCAGTATTGCACTTTTCTATATAAACTGTAATGCTATATAAACTGTTTTATATACATGCCAACATTTTGAAAAACAACTTAGTCAAATTGTCCAGACATACCTTCTTTCCTTTGTAAGCTGTGTATTTTCAGAATGAGTTATTGCGGTATTTGGCTAATTATATCCAATAGGTAGTATTGAACCATCTGATTCTCTACACAAAACCAGTGTTGGTCTTGCCATTATCCGCTTACCACAGGTTCGAATTTGTCTTTTGTTCGAACTCAAAGATGTCAGCAGTATATCAGCATTAATGTATTCCAGTAGTGGGAAGCCTCAACAAACCTCTTTCACTTTGACCAGACATACTGTGATATGACTGAAATACTGGTTAAAGCAGAGTTAAACTCAGATCACTCACTCACAGATTTTTGGAATAAAAACAGAAGACAAACGTGCCAAAAATTAAATTTATTACGTCCATAGAATAAGTTTGCATCAACTTAAATTCATCTTAAATGCTAATGTTATGGTGCAAGTGTTAAAACAAATAATAACACGTCATAAATTTTCATGAAGTGGCCTCCACTTCCCCATAGCCACACCTTCAACACCAAACAATAAACAGTAACCACTGACACTGACAGCTGAAACAAAAAATAGTCTGAGAGGAAGAGAGATGTATTTATAAGTAAAGTTAACATAACCTGCCATATCTGCAGAATGCCATCATACTTGCTCTGTATGTTATATTCTTTTTATGGCTGTAATGTAACATTCCAAGAAACTATCACATGAACACGAGAGGAAGAGAGATTATAAGTCAAGTAAACATAACCTGCTATATCTGAAGATTTTAAAGTTGTTTTTCTTTCATTAAATACTTCATCAATAAGAATCAGTGAGGTGTGCAGGAACATAAATGACAGATGTGGAAGACAGGCGGCAACTATTCTGCTACTGACCAGCACAGCATCTAGAGCTCTAAAACCATTGTTGGAGTTAATGCTGTCCAGGTTTGGAAACGGGGGTGGCTGATTGTGGCTTGATTTACACTGCATCCACTGTAAATGGGTAGAGGAGTAAACACAGATTCATCAAGATCTCTATCCAATGAAGTCTGGCTGATTGTTGCTTGATCAAGACTGACTCTACTGTAAATGGGTAGAGGAGTAAACACAGATTCATCAAGATCTCTATCCAATGAAGTCTGGCTGATTGTTGCTTGATCAAGACTGACTCCACTGTAAATGGGTAGAGGAGTAAACACAGATTCATCAAGATCTCTATCCAATGAAGTCTGGCTGATTGTTGCTTGATCTAGACTGACTCTACTGTAAATGGGTAGAGGAGTAAACACAGATTCATCAAGATCTCTATCCAATGAAGTCTGGCTGATTGTTGCTTGATCTAGACTGACTCTACTGTAAATGGGTAGAGAAGTAAACACAGATTCATCAAGATCTCTATCCAATGAAGTCTGGTCTGATTGTTGCTTGATCTAGACTGACTCCACTGTAAATGGGTAGAGGAGTAAACATGGATTCATCAAGATCTCTATCCAATGAAGTCTGGTTGATTGTTGCTTGATCTAGACTGACTCTACTGTAAATGGGTAGAGGAGTAAACATGGATTCATCAAGATCTCTATCCAATGAAGTCTGGTAGATTGTTGCTTGATCTAGACTGACTCTACTGTAAATGGGTAGAGGAGTAAACATGGATTCATCAAGATCTCTATCCAATAAAGTCTGGCTGATTGTTGCTTGATCTAGACTGACTCTACTGTAAATGGGTAGAGGAGTAAAAACACAGATTCATCAGGAATCACAATGGGTAAAGTCTGGCTGATCTCTGTTGCTTGATCTTGCAGATCTAGACTGACTCTACTGTAAATGGGTAGAGGAGTAAACACAGATTCATCAAGATCTCTATCCAATGAAGTCTGGCTGATTGTTGCTTGATCCAGACTGACTCCACTGTAAATGGGTAGAGGAGTAAACACAGATTCATCAAGATCTCTATCCAATGAAGTCTGGCTGATTGTTGCTTGATCTAGACTGACTCTACTGTAAATGGAAAGAAGCCTCAAAGTGAAGTCATTGAAATAGCCACCATGTTTAATTTACAAAGGTCTGTCTGTGGCATAATTCACTGCAGACAGTAACAGGCATGGAATGAGGTGGTGACTGAGGTTTGGCATATACATGTACTGGTGCCACCAGGGATTGACATACCACATGGGCTGAGAGATATAGCTCTGCACTCAAATAGAAACAAACCAGTAAGGTCATTTGTGTGAGTTGCATTTATGTAAATTTAGGATATTCTACAAATGAGACAAGGGCATTTGGACTGATAAAACCATCATCCTGTTTATTTAGATACTTGCTTGATATGGTGAGTGGGATTTGAAACAGGTTGTTCACACTGTCAAGGATGCTGTTGTAGAAGACTGAAGATCTAGGGGGTGGGCATGTTGGGTTTGTGGCGAAAGGAACATTGTCACCACTCAGGCTACCCCCAATACCCCCTCCATTTGGTGGTGCCTAGGACTATTAGGGGAGGACAAGTGTCTGGTGTCCCCAGCCATGGGACACAGTAATTATGAATTTATGATTTAATGTAGAATTCATTTCACACAATGTAAAATATATACCAGTAGGTATTGCTAGTGGCTTGTTTATATGAATGTTTTACATCCTCATACAGGAATATTGCTGGAGACAAATGGTATTTGTTTATTTCATGATTTCAATATCTAGACATTCTTCTAAATCTGCAATTTGAGATCTATCTGTAGGACAGTTTGAATGACAATCAGTCAATATCCTGCAAATGAACCACCTGAAACCCTGCCTTGGTGAGTGTAAAAGACAGTGTACTTGTGTTTGACATGGGAAATGTTAGGGTTAAAACCTGACACTAGCTCTGTAATGCTGTTTTTATGTATGGATGAACATACCTCTATACTTGATCTTTACACCAGATCAAAGTGAAACACAGCATAAACTGATGAATCCAGGTATTATTCCAAGATGGCAATCAACAGAAACCTGTCAACAACATACACATGAAATTATTTAAATGTTGATGATTCGCCATTTTTAAAAGGGTAGTTTTTCATGTAGGCAAGATGATATCATATTTATGTATCAAATGAGGATGATGGTGAAAACGCTTATGACTGACAAGGTAAGAAATTAATTATATTATTATGCTTCATAATTAGTAATTTCAACTAGCCTGAAAAAATATGTAAAGTTGTTGCTATGAACATAATGCTACAAGTGGTAGTCTACAAAGAAATGTCTTAAGTCCTTGAAATGAACATGAAATGCTCAAATATTTTCTATCATCCCTGTTTTGAACAACTCACCACCTAACTGCACACACACTCTTTAATGAACCCAATATTTCCATCCTTTTCGAGGCATTATCTCAAGGAATCATTTTAGTGGCCTTCTGTGCTATGAGATGGAGAACTATTAGCCTTGAACTCAGCAACCGTTGCCCTAGCAACACTAGAAATGGTTATTTTTACAAGGGATTTTAGCATTCACAATAAGGAAACGTGCTCCTACGTCCAGTGGAATATAATAATGTAAACAAAGCCGTACACCGAAAAAAATTGTACTTGATTGATCTCGATTCTATCTTCGCTGATTCTATCTTATGGCATGTAGAGACAGAGCCTAATGGGAAGGAAACTATCAACTCGTACACACGAACATGTATCCGCAGGGGTAAAAAAATAGGATTGCCCGACTCCCGGGTACAGTATGTATTCGACGTCGGACAGGTAATAAATGCATTTTAACTTGCCCGGTGGCAAGTGACATTTACAAATCAGCCTAACTTGAAAATGGTATGTTGCGTACATAAGTCGACTCCCAGCGATGGGGGTGTAATCGTGGCCAAGACAACTGGCAGTTACTGAGCCAGTACCGATAATTGAAACTTCGGTCTGCATTATTCACAGAAATCACAATCATATAGTGTCTACTCACGTCTCGAAATCAAGTGTAGTTGACAGAAAATGGATACTTATATATATTTTGTTTCGCTAAATATATTCATCGTAGCTGGACGATCACATGTCAACAAACTGGCTTTGTTATATTACCCCATTCCATGTGCGTACAACCAGGGAGACTCTATAAGGGGGAGTGGTCACTCCTCGGAAAGCTCCTAAGCTATGCCTCGGCTCGTCACGTGACCAGTGCAGCCAATATGGCGGCAGCGTAGTTTTTAAGATTGAGCCCGGTTTATTTTCAACAGCTGATTACATACGCTGAGTGTTGTGACAACTGAAAACCTACATGTAGAAGATAAGTTACCTATTCTGTCACTTCATTTGAAGTCAAATACTTGTTATTAGTGTCAGTATAAGTACAGTAGCTTTGTAGTAAAGTTTCAAGTGGGCATGTTGTAGCTCACTGGCTTCAATTCTCAGTACACAGCGAAGAAAGACTAAATTATATCGCTAAAAACTTCTTTCACATATTCGTTTAATTTTTAGAGGAAATATACCTTTAGTTAAAAGGTGTTTGCAAGTAATAGTGATATTTTATGACTAAAAATTTGTTAGGGTGTATTTGAGGCGTGTGAAAAATATGACATATCGCCGATCTGCCATTGAAATACTACAGGGCGTTGTTTGAGTGTTTCTAGTTAGTGTTCAAAAACATCTTTCACATACACCTTCAATTTTTAGAAGGGAAATATCCCTTTAGTTAAAAGGTGTTTGCAAGTAATAGTGATATTTTTATGACTAAAATTTTTTTGTTAGGGTGTATTTGAGGTGTGTGAAAAATATGACATATCGCCGATCTGCCATTGAAATACTACAGGGCGTTGTTTGAGTGTTTCTAGTTAGTGTTCAAAAACATCTTTCACATACACCTTCAATTTTTAGAAGGGAAATATCCCTTTAGTTAAAAGGTGTTTGCAAGTAATAGTGATATTTTTATGACTAAAATTTTTGTTGGGTGCATTTGAGGTAGGAAAAATATATTTGAGGTGTGTGAGTTGTTTCTAGTTAGTGTTCAAAACATCTTTCACATACACCTTCAATTTTTAGAGGAAATTATACCTTTAGTTAAAAGGTGTTTTGCAAGTAATAAAGTGATATTTTTATGACTAAAATTTTTGTTAGGGTGTATTTGAGGTGTGTGAAAAATATGACATATCTCCGATCTGCCATTGAAATACTACAGGGCGTTGTTTTGAGTGGTTCTAGTTAGTGTTCAAAACATCTTTCACATACACCTTCAATTTTATGTGAGGGAATATACCATCAGGTGAAAAGGTGTTTGCAAGTAATAGTGATAGTTTTATAATTTAAAAAATTGTTAGTGTGTATTTGAGGTGTGTGAAAAATATGACATATCGCCGATCTGCCATTGAAATACTACAGGGCGTTGTTTGAGTGTTTCTAGTTATTGTTCTAAAACATCTTTCACATACACCTTTAATTTTTATGAGGGAATATACCATCAGGTGAAAGTTTTTGCAAGTAATAGTGATAGTTTTAATTTTTTTTTGTTGTTAGTGTGTATTTGAGGTGTGTGAAAAATATGACATATCGCCGATCTGTTCTGATACGCCATTGGTGCTGTGATGCTTGAGTGTTATAGTTCTAAAACTTCTTTCTTTCTTGTTGATCTTAGTATTTGACAAAACTGGAAAGGTGTTTGCAAGGCTTTGTGATAGTTCTAAACTTTCTGTTCTTGAGGGGTCTGTGACAGTGTCAGTTAACATTCTGTTAATGTCAATGCCCATGTCATTCCACACATGCAATAAGATATCTGAATTAGTTACTAATGTAAAAAATGTCTCAGAGTAATTTTTTTGAAAAAGGACAGCTGATGTTAACATGTGTTCTACCGATAGTTTGCGTTCTTTAACATGTTTGGGGGAGGGATGGCCGTGGTGTATCATTTATTCTTTCATTCACTTACCATGTTCGTGAGGGTCCGTATAACCTAGTGTTGATTATACATTTTACATTTATAGAACAAAAACTGTAATTAAAATTACGCAATGCTAGGATATATTTCTTTGGGTTAAATATTAGTGTTCTGTATTCTATTTTACTGATGTCTTCATCAGAATTCATCCCGTTATATTATTGTGCATGTTTGAACTTGATCGCCGGGAAACGTGGGCACAGCTCATTGCTTTTTTCGGCTCTATATACGAGACAAATACACACGGCAATCCTAATCCCTGCAAATAATATAATGCCTAGCAAAACAAATTAGAACTGAAAAGGTAAAAAATCTCGTCTAGTGATGTTTAATTGCAAATTTGACGTCTTTACTGACAAAGTTGTTTTCTGTTGTTCGTCCACGCGAAACGGTACGATGTCGTTCTTACTGGTCACCTGAAAAAAGTTTGGCTGACGAAAGTGTTACCCGTAGGTATAAGCCGACCCCCTTCTACAAGCTGTCGTTTTTGGTCTTCAAAATTCGGCTTATCGTACCTAATCCGAACTTCTAAAAGTTAACTCGTAACCACAATTTTATTGTCACATTTATAAACATGGGCACGAGTTCGTTTTAGATTCACCGCACACCTTGTTTTCATTTGCGCTTAGAGGGGTGGGTCGTATTTCAATACATTGGGACTAGGTTTCTTCTTGCATTAGTTAGTACAAGAGGGCAATCGCTTAGGAGATGATGTTATAGTCAGTGGGCATGGCGACAAGAAAACACGGTTTGTAGCTGTCAATGATTACTAGACCGCGATAATGTCACAGCGATCTATTTCAAGTTTCTTTGGCGGCGGGGAAAGAAAAGAAACAGAAAAAAGAAAATCAGATGACATAACGGGCAGCATTTCGTCTAAAAACAAGAAATATGACACTGAAAAACGGCAAAGAAAATTTATTTCTTCGTGGAAAACTCTTTACCCCTGGGTTGTTCACGATGAGGAACAAAACGTCATGAGGTGTGAAATTTGTGTTAAATTTCCAGACATTTGTGCTAAAAACAGGAAACATGCTTTTGTAGATGGGTGCAACAATTTTAGACTTGATTATTTGAAAAGTCACGATACTTCAGATGCACATCTGGAATGTGTTTCATATCACAAAGCGGCTCTAAAGTCGCAAGGGAATGTGGACTGTTCTTCAAGTATACCTACCAGTATAAGTGAAACAGCTGCAAAAATTAAACCAATAGTGAAAGCATTCAAGTCTATTGACACATACACCCTGAGAAGACTTGACAGGTTGTTCATTACAGCGTTTCAGATCGCGCATAAGGGGAAACCCCTTAGTGACTTTGAAGCGAATCTTGAGTTACTTGAACGTCTTGACGTGGATGTGGGGACCAAATATCGTAACAACGCTGGTGTACGTTCCTTCATTCACGCAATAGCCCTTTCCTTTCGGAAAAGTTTCCTTAGCGAGCTAAAGAATGCCAAATTTCTAACAATAATGAGTGATGGCAGTACAGACACCGCTGTTATGGAGCAGGAAACAGTTTTTGTTAGATATGTGAGTCTGTCGGGGGAACCCATCTCTTTCCATGCCGCAACAGTCCCTCTGTCTCACTGCCATGCCGACGGCGTTCTTGAAGGAATCAAGTCAGCTGTGTCCACACTCGGCTTTACATACGAGAATCTGGTGGACCCAGACTATGCAGGACCACACTTGGTGTCAGTTAATTTTGATGGGGCTGCTGTAATGTTAGGGTCAAAAGGTGGTGTGGCAGCCAAAATCAAGGATGATGCAAATTATGTTGTGCCTGTGCATTGCATTGCACACAAGCTAGAACTTGCCGTTTTAGACTCTGTGAAAGATTTGCCACAACTTGCTAGCTTTGAGAACACTTTGAAACAAGTTTTGAAGTTTTACTATTATAGCCCTAAAATGAGACGGGAACTAAAGCAAGTTTCAGAAATTTTCAACACTGAGCTTGTTAGTCTGTCTGATGTCAAGCAAGTGCGCTGGTTGGCAAGCAAAATCCGTGCTGTTCAAGCATTAAAGATTGGATTCCACACAATCATTAACCACATTGAATCTGTGGCAACAGGAAGAACTGAACAAAGTGCAAAAGCCAAAGGATGGCTGAAGAAAATGCTGACCTCTTCCTTCATAAAAGTTATGAGTGTACTTCTTGATATTCTCCCAATCCTTACTGAGGTGTCTCTTCTGTTCCAGACAGAGGATTTGCTCATTATTGAGGTAAGTGGAGCCCTTGAAGGACTGATACTGAAGCTCATGAATCTCAAGATCGAACCTTTGCTAGTTGGTGAACACATGAGGAATTTCTCTGACAAGTACAACCACGAGACAGGTACCTATGATGGTATCAGACTCAGAGACAGTTGTACTCCCATCATCTTCAAGGAAGATGTCTTCCTGAACTCATTGCTTGATGGTATGATGAAGTACCTTGACAAGAGATTTGCATGTTTCAGCCAGAAACCACTGAAATGTTTCAGTGTGTTCAACTATGCTGATTGGCCCTCTGACAGAGCAGCACTGAGTGTTTATGGAAACACAGACCTATCTGAACTGGTAGATCACTATGCCTTGCTGTTTCCTGATGAAAAGTCACTCATCCTGCGTGAATTCACAGAACTCAAAGGGCACCTGAAATCATGCAAACAGCCTGTGCTTGAAACATACATAAAGTTACTGGTTGATAAACCTGAAAGATTTGTGCATGTTATCAAGATTATTGAATTGATGTTTGTCATGAGTCCCGGAACCGCGGTTTGTGAAAGGCTTTTTTCAAATATGAACCTTGTCAAGACAAATCATTGAACAAGATTGAACACAGAAACTCTGACTGACACTTTGACAATCATGACACATGGGCCAAAGAAACTAGCAGACTTCTGTCCAAGAGATGCTATTCGTGAGTGGATGGAACAGTGTCAGGGCAGCAGACACATCCTCTCCATGGTGAAGGATGTCAAGTCATCCTCATCCACTTGTTCCACACTCACCACCTCACCCTCACCCAGCACAAGTACAGCCATTGCTGCCAAGGACATCTGAGAGCTATACAAAATACCACAGTTAGTGAGTATGCTGAGTGCATTAATATTCCTGTCAAATTTTAATAAATGATAGTTTAGTAACCATTCACAACCAGTGTCTTAGTTATTTTTGTTTAAATTTCCTACAAATAGTGGGCAAGTATGAAAAAAATCAGGGCAAGTATAAACTGTGTTTATACTTGCCCTTGGGCAATAAAGGATTTAAAATTTTTTTGCACCCCTGATCCGTTAACAATCTCCCAACAACAGAGACAAACGTTTGTTTGTCTGTTTGACGCCACACTATATAAGCACTTTTCCAGTTACATAACGTTGATCTGTAAATGATCGGTTCTGGACCAGACAATCCTGTGATTGATATCATGAACACCGATCTACGCAAATGGGGCACGATGACATGCACGTAAGCGAGACTGACTGCCGATCCCGTGATCATGACGACCAAATCGGACCGGATTTTTTGAAATTATATATGTTTAAGACGATCGGAAGTCTGGAATTTTTCGAATGTTTGGTTGATATTTACGCTGAACTGTCCAAATAAGAAACAGGGTAAAGAAATATGATATCATAATATTTGACATAAGTTATTATTTCTGACAATGTTCGGGAATATCCTAACACAACTATTCAGGAGGTAATTAAGCATTAAAATTGCTATGACTATAATCTTTTCTTTTTTTTAAAATGACCCTGGGCTATATATTTTATTAACAGCGGCCACTAAATCTACATTGACTTATTTTGTACACAGAAACATATATACCAAATTAAGGCCTAGAATTTTGGTCCGAAATATGGGACCATTTTCATTGCAATGTAGCGGCCATATTCTAAAGATTATCCGAGACGCAACCGGACATTTGTGAATTTTCATGAGGTCATTTTGTAAATATATCACTCTCTCCGACTTGTTCAGTTATAATACACTTTTAAAATCATGCAAGATAATGGCCTTATATATACTGAGAGGCAAAAAAAACCCCACATATCAGCAATAAATGTCAGTGGGGGTTGGGGTGGGGGTGGCACTCCGCCACCCATCCCTTTTGTCCTAAAAGTTTGTTAAATGGGCATTGAAACTCGGGTGAAAATGAAGTGTGCACCCCTCCTTTTCTCAATAGTTTGCAAAACCACACCACCCCCCTCCTCAAAAAGCTGTATCCGCCCCTGGA